CCTGATCCTACCACACCCGTTCTTCTGCTCCTTAAAATTTGTTCTTCCAGGATCATGGATGTTCCAGACAAAGGTGTTTTCAGAAATGATATGGAGTATTGCAGTTGTGTTTTACTGATTGGGAATTGCCATGTTTAATGTAGAGAAAATAAGATTTCTCCTTTGCTTAAAGCATGAGGGACTGTCTTGTCTTTTCTTATTGACTAGTAAACACAACAGCAGAGAAGGCATTTCCTGTGTGAATGTTAAATACAAGTGAATACAAATACAAAAGAGTGGTTCATCTGGAAATACTACAGAAATCAGTTTCTGCTGCTCAGTATTGAAAACATGCAGATACATGCAAATACACAAAGAAGAAAATGAGCATACTATGAGAATAATTTCATCAGCTGTTGTGCTCAAGTTGTCTCAAGCAGCCAGAGCAGGTAGCTTAAAAAGAAATTTTTATCTAGTAATTCTCAGATGTGGAGTGATTAGTCTTTGTTTTACATGCATACATCTACAAAAGGTAGTGACAATTAACAAGTTAGAGTTAAGATTTTCAAAGCAAGTTGGTTTTGAAGGTACTTCTGTGCTGTGCTACATTGTCCAGTTTGGCAGAAGTCCCTGCTTCACTGAGTTACTTTGCTGATGTTATTTTCGGTATGAAAAAGCTGCAGTGTGACATGGATAAACTAGAATGTGTTAGAGCAGAGTTTTGTAGTAAATTGGAAAAGTAAAGAATAAAAATGGTATCAGTTTAATACTCAGTTAAACAGTGGAGCTATAACTGTATTGTAGTTAGCTCAAATAAAACTAAATCTCTACTATAGCTGCAGTTAATTTGAAATACTGTGTCACCTGCAGTAGAATGCTGCATGCTGCCTGAGCTTTGATTAGAAGTTTCAGTTGAGCAGTAAACTAGGGTTGCAAAAGTCATTTGTCTGGCAGTAACGTACCACTATGTATGGATGTTTTTCTCTGTCTAGTCTCTTCTCTATGTTTATAGGACCTTTCCCAGAGCAGTCTCATGTGCCTGCTGTAATCAGCAGAATTTTGGGCAGCTCTTAAACACATAAATGCAAGGTGGTTTTAATATAAAAAAAACCCCTGTGTTTTACAATGATAATTTACTACTATACGTATTCTAATTAGTTTATTTTCCTTGGACTTAGCCATTTTAGTGAGTTACTGTTGGTTGTTTAATGAAGTCTAATTTTTCATTTGTTTTAATTAGGTAATTGAGCAATCAGTACAGTACCTTGGTATAGCAGACTGTTCATAGGATAGTAAGTAGGATCAGATCATGCAAATGCATGCCTCTGGGCTCTGGCAACAGGTTTAAAATTGCATTAGTATATTTTGCCTTTCTAGAATTCTTTCACCAGATGGTAGCATTTGATTTCCTTTTAAACAGTCTATAACACCCAAATGTAGTTGTATTACATTCTTTAAAAATCAATACTACTTAGGTAAACATAAGTGGGAGGAGGATAGTGTGTTAACTTTCAACTGAGAAATTATTAGTTGTTTCCTACACTCAATGTGTTATGTAGATAACTTTTTGAGAAAAAAAAAATGTCATTAAACATTCTCTAAAAGGGGGATTAATAGTGCAGGAAAAAAGTTACAGAAATATTGGTGGGTGTTTTTTCTTGGAATCTGGGCAGTGATTTGTCTTGCAAGTTGTTTGAACACTAGTTCTAGTGTTTAGCCAGTGCTGAATGTGTTAAATACTCTTATTGATAATTAAGGAAAAGTCTATTACTGTGTACCAATTATGAAGAAATAAAATCTGACATTTGAAGGAAGAGCTATTAAGTTTACCAGCTTCAGGCAAAGGCTTATTTTATTACTATCCCTCTTGTGCTCAAGAGAGAGAAAAACTCCAGTACTCCTGAGGTCTTTCTATGTAGAAAGAGAAAAGGGCAGCTGGCTTTCCACTTCTAAGCATAACCTTTGCAAATTCTCTTCTTCATTTTGGAGATGTCTTAATTGTGGAGACCAGAATGATCCAGCAACTTAAAACCAATTAATGTATGCTGAGTGCATATATACAAATACAAATAAGGATGATAACTTATTTAGTCTCCTTTTTTGGAAGCATCATTCAGCTTACTCCTTGTAACATGGTGTTCCTTGTACTCCTTGTTTCATGGTGTTGCTATCAAATTTGTTGCCTTAGAGCTTTTAGCCTGGGCTTGAGTCTCGTTGCTTTCGTTGTTTTCAGAAATGGTGTGCTCTTTAGCAGTGTGATGGACTGCATGTAGATTGGATTTAGATGGATGCATATTGGGGAAAAAAAGTTTGTTCCCACTGGTAGTTTCTGTTCACTGTAAAATGCTGGTCTGTAAACTGGCTATTCAAGAGCTTGTTCAGGAATAGGCTTCCTGCACCTGTCTCAAGTCAATGGCACAATACATCAGATGGGGGTGTAAATAATAGAGCAGATAATACCTGGCAGGTTTTGATATCCAGTTTCAATGTGCTCCCTGCCAGAGTCCCAGCTGACAGAGATGGATTGGTGCTAAGCCCAAGATGTTACAACTGGTTTTATGTCATTACTCAGCTAAAAGATTGTATTTATTAAAATTAATTGTCCCATTAATAACTGACTCACTTGTATTTCAAGATTCCTTTCATCCAGTGGCGTCTTAGATGCTTGCAAAGCCTCAGGTACTTTTCGTAAACTTGCATTTCCTGGTGGTGGCTGAATTCAATCACTGCTCTGTCCTTCAAGAGGATTTTTTTCACCTTGTGACACTCCTCTGTTATAATTTTTTAATGAAGAATGAAGTTGCCTTAAGAATATGTAAGAATGCAAAAAGCTCTGTCAGTGAACAAAGCAGAAGCATCTGGATGTGAACTGGGGAGGCTGGATTCCTACTTTTGCTGAAGTCTTGGCAGTAATTTTAGGGTTTGTTTCTCATGCAAAATGGTTATGTCCAGAGCCCTGACCATGCTACTTGGAGTGTAAAAGACAGCCTTGTTTTCAGTGGTTGTGTGACATATCGTTTAACTACTATTTTGAACTAGCATTTTAAAAGCAAATGATAGGTTTGTGAAGACATGAAGGCTTGGTTATATCCAGAAATAAACTCAGCTGTTTAGCAACTATGCCCACGATGGCAGTTGGATCTAGAGGTCAGGTCTGGCTGGAAAAAAATTCCTTTTTCAGTATCATAAAATCAAGAAAAATGGCCAACAGCCAGTTGTGAGTGAATACAGATGTTGTTTACAGGATTTATCATATAGTGATGGCAACACATGATGAAGATGCTGTTTTGTAGAGTTCATGTGCTGTGGCGAAAGGGTGGAAGTAAATAGAAGTAAATGTGACACTGGAGGTTTTAGAACATAACTTTCTGTGTGTAGTTAAAAGAAGTTACTATGTTCTGTTCATGGCAGAATAGTAAATCACAAGTTTTCATCAATATTTCACATTAAAGTTGCCAAGGCATAAGACAGCTTGCTGTTAACTAAAACCAGCAGCATTCTCAAGGAGATCACAGCCAGCCTTTTCCTTCCTTTCAAACTTTTCTAACCTGTCCTTGGAGGCAGTAAAAAGCAGGTTATGTGCAGCATGTGCTGACAGATCCTCTGAGGGCAAAGATGTCCTTTTCTGCTCATAGTTGTACAGCTTTCTGGAGGGCCAATCACTCTTTTTCCTTGCTGCTGCTCATGGCAAAGAGATCGGTAGCCTTCATTGTTTGTGAGAAATTTTGGTTCTTCTTTTTCCTTCAGATATGGGAAAAGAAAAATGTGGGACACTTTCCTGGGCTTTCCCTAGACTTCTGGAGTTTGTTGCCAGTGCTTTCTTTGTTGCTTGGCAGGCTCATTTCTTTCATGCTGAGAGAGGCAAGTTACACCTTGGTGGTATGAGATTACTTTTTGCAAATTTTGGAATCACTAAAACATGTCAGTTTAGTATGTGAATGAGTTTTGGAGGGGAGTAAGGGACAGCAAGGAGAAGTGAGCCTTTTAAGCTGAGTGGACTCTATTCTTGTTAGGGTAAGGACTAGAAAGCAGGTTTAAAAGAAACCAAAACCAAACCAGCAACAACAACAAAAAAGCCACTAAGAAAGGGACCAATTCAGCATATTTAAAATGGCACCATTAGCCATTCAGAGTGTGCCAACCTTGGCAATTTTCCTGGTTAGCTCAATGAGTATTGCATGCAATCAAGTACTCCCTTTTAATTGGGAGCTTATTTAGATGTATAACTTGAGGAGCATAAGGTTTGAATGTCTTGGCCTTTGCATCTTTTTCACTTGCAGATCAAAATTATTTCAAAACAATTTTCATGTCATTTTTTTTAATAGAAAATAAAGTTCCTTAAGAGGAAGACCTGTAATGTTATAGTATCAGGAGGATCAGCCCTTAAAAGACTTGCAGGATGATAAATCAATTAAGACCAAATATATTTGTGGGTTATTTGAAAGCCATATGCTCAGCTACACAAAAAGAGTGAACACATTTGTCTCAAATGTCAAGAGACTGCATTTCTGCTCACATGTGTGCTGTTGCAAAAATACAAATATTTGTACACCAGCTCAAGTACAGACAAGTATCCATTAGTCATATGACCCACTGCATGCACGTACATATATATGTGTGTATCTTTACATGTGTACCCATATATGTGTATGTACACATTCCTAGTATAGTCTTTTCTTTGAATCTAACTTGCATTTCTACTTTGATAATGAGATAAGACTCCCTTCTTGGTTCACAAGTTAGGGAAGCTGGATAAAGAGCTTCAGGGAGCAGTCTGTGAATCCTATGAAAAATTATTCTGGTCTTCAATCTTCTCCATGCTGAAGTCCAAGGGGTGTCCTCTGCAGGCAAAGCATTGCGAGTTGGAGAAAGGGTGGCTCCAGTCTACAGCAGCTGTCTCCTTTCATGCTGATTAATAGAAATAAACATAATAAACTAAACTCTGTGTCATAAATCCCATTGGTTTATTCAATTTGTATACAAAGTGTTTTGATTAATTTTAATTTTATTTTTTCTTGCAGGAAATACTGGATAGATCCCACAATGGAAGACGGGAAGCCCGTTTGGGCTCCACACCCAACTGATGGGTTTCAGATGGGGATGATTGTGGACATCGGCCCTGACAACTTAACTATTGAACCTTTGAATCAGAAAGGCAAAGTAAGTGTGTCACAAACAAAGGAACAGAGAAAAACCATACAAAGAACCACCTTACCTGTAGGCCAGGTCTTTGTCCCTGTCTTCAACTGCACACAGCCTGAAGGATGGAAAATCAACTTTCTGCTCTAAGTTTGGCTAAGGATCTTTGTTCAGCTTTAGCTTGTATTGCAATGGACCCCTCACACTGACGAGAAGTGCGTACTTCATCAGTTATCTGCACGTGCATTGAGTATGTACTCTTGAAAGAGAAGAGGTTTGGATCTCTGTAGTAATATGATTCGGTACTGTATGCTTTATTTTTCTTAATTAGACACTGATTAAGAGCCTGCTGTTAAGATTAGCTTATCTCTTTTTCCTTACATGCATAGGAAGGGTTCTACAGGGGTGTGCTGGGCCCTGGCTGAGATTAGATACCATTAGACTGATGAAGTCTGAGAGATGAATCCTCTTAACTCAATTACCTTGAAAAGTAATATGATGTAAAAAAAAAAAAAAAGTCCTGTGGAATTTCTACATCAAATTAAAGTCAAAAGAAATGTAACTTTTAAATTGAAGACCTAATTCATCCTAATTATTATGTTCCAATGGCTTGATTTATCATGACATCTTTCAGACTCAGTATGTCGTAACTAAATGTCAGTTTTTACAGGAAGCACCTTGAAGCTATCAATTATGCTAATTCAAATGGTCAGATTCCTGGGTTGTACTAGCTAGAATAAGATTAGCAGTGCCTTAAAAGTTGTGGTTTCAGTCTTTTTGAATATATTTTTGTGCTCTTTCTAATAGTTTTGGTTTTTCTTATGTTCAAGGATGTAAAAAAGACAACAATGTGTTTTGTTGTCTTTTTTTTTTGTCAGCAGTAGGAGAGAATGCCTTGTCACAGGTCAAAAGGTTATGCAGCAGTCCTTCCTTTTGAGGGAGTGTTCTTTTTTGTGCATCTTGGAGAGGAAGTTGATTTTGCCTTCCTTAGAAATACAAAGTGTAACAACTGATTTTTGAGTGAGAGAGATAAAGTGTATAGGTTTAGTAGTAGCAGTAGTATTCATTTGTCAGTTTGAGGAGAAGCAAGATTATTCAGACAAGGATGTTAAATATTCCAAATCTATGGCTAATATTAAAATGACTTAAATAAATTTCACCCCCACTGCTGTTTCTGTTTATATTCCCCAATGGTCCTGATGCCATAAGGAGCAAAAGCCTTTGCACTGAAACAGAAACAATAATAATGATATTTCTGAGTCACTATTTATTTCTAACATGTGATCCTTTCAGGGACCATAAATAATTTAAAAAAATCAACAAAAAACCAAAAAATTATCTTAAAATACAAATAGTTTGTTTCATTGTTTTCTCAACAACAAAAAAAATCTCTTTTGTCTAGGGAGTTTGTTATTCTGCTGTTGGCTGTTTTGAATTAAGCAGATCAATTAAGAGCCTAATGTTCATTCATCTAAGGGAACAAACACTTCTCAGTCTAAATAGAGATGATGATCCTATATTTTAAACTATCAAACTTAATTAATTAACCATATATTAATAAAGGTGGACTAAAAGGTTTTCTTCATTACCTTCTCAGTCTTTTCAAGGTGTCATTGATTTCTTTTTAGAGAAACATCTCTCATTGCTTTTTGACTTTTTTAAGACGACTTTGTCCTTGTGCACTTAGACCATTCATTTGAAGTAGACAGCATTAATACTCATTATCACTTTGTTTCTTTAAAATGGTAGTTCAGAAGTGCTCTTCAGCAAGAATGCATGATCCAGCAGCTCTGGAGTTGCCCATGATAATTACAGGGAGGAGAGGAGTAACCTGATCTTGTAAACATATCCCGGCAGTGTAACTTATTATTATTTTTTAATCTGGGTCATTACCATGTCATATGTATTCTCTGTAGGCACTGGTAGCTTACCAGAGGTCACAGTCTGAAAAGGAAATGTGTATGCATGTATTTGATGATTGCCTTTTATGACACTGTTGTCAATAACTGCAGTATATGCTGCAAGGCAGCAGTTTCACCATGTCTTCAACCCCTCCCTCCCATCCCCATCCGTGGCCAGCTCTGGCACTGCAGAGTGGCACCCTCCCAGCTCTGCCTGCTGAGCTGTGCGTGACATCCCAAACGAGGTCAGAGAACAGATCCTACTGGAAGAAGTGGAAAGTTTTCAGGATGGCAGCAAGCAGTGGCAGGTAGGGCGGGGGGCAGAGGAGCTGAAGCCATTGTGGTGGCGAGTTGCTTCACATTATTAACCAAGTTACCCAGTTCAGGCTCTGTGGAGGTCCAACACACCAATTCACTTAAATCCCAGCAGCAGCAGTTTTGGGCACCACAGCCCATCCCCAAGTGTTTACAGTTCTGTGCAGAACTGTGTGTCTAAGGGCGGTGGGGATCTGAGTCACCCAGCCTGCCCTGCACGAGAACTGTACAGCGAGCTGCAGGAACGTTTTACTGGAACAGAGGATGCATGTGTTACGGGATGGGAACCTCTTCCCAAAAAGTAGATCATTGGCTTGCAAGGTTTATAAATGCCAGGACTGGAAAATAAATGCCAGGAAAAAAAAGCCAGAGAAACTGGAGAGTGCTTTGCTAATGAGCAGGGTCACACCTAGAGCTGGATTCCTGCCCTGAGAATGGGTTCCAGACTGGATTGGTTGTACCAGAGCTGGCAGTCCTGGCCCATGGCCCACCAGCAGTCATATGCTGGTGGTACAAGGAAGGAGACAGGTAGAGAGGGAATCAGCTGTTGAACTCAACTAGTATTGTGCTTTCATTTCTCTTTGAAGTGTTCTTTTCTGAATGCACTGGGATTCGTAATCTTGGATCCTGTTGCATATATCTTTTTGTTCTTTGAGGCTAAAATAAGAAGGCAGATCACAGTAAATTTGATATTTACTCTTTTCTTGGAGGTAGCAAATATAAATAAAGTGATTAGGGAGAGATGCACTGGAAGGGCTTGCACTTTGAGATGCTATTCTGGACACCATGGGGCACTGAGAAGTAGGGGGCAAGCACTTCTTAGACCATCAGCAGTCATGAGTTTATGGCAGTCACTGGGAAGGTGTGAGGTGCTGCAGGCACTCAGTGACACCCCTCCTGCCATCGACTGAGAGACACCTTATGGCTCTGTGCCACTTCTGAAGGGTCATGGAAGGCTTTATGGGCCACCTGCTCTGGTGTGCTGTGAATAACCAGAAAGGTATTTTTCCCAGCTAAGTATAAAGGAATAAATGTACTTTGAAAGTAAGGATCAGAATGTTCAAAGTTCAGAGCTTCAAGCTAGGGTTTGTTTTTTTTTTAATTTTTTTTTTTTTAATTTTTTAATTTTTTTGTTTTTATTTTTTTTTTAACAGTGAGCACAACTTGCTTGCACAAGTGAGACATGCTCTTACACACGGTTTGTAGTGCTGTAGGTTGGTTTGTGAAATTAGCTGAGAGTAAGGATGTCTCCTGTCTGTATCTGGAAGGTATAAAGGAAGGCATGGTTACACATATTGCATTACATGGTAGAAAGAAGATCCTACTTGAATGGAAAGATATCTTTTTTCACTCATCTAGTTTCTGGGAGAATAGTTAAGATTGCCATTGGATTTCAAGGGTTGCTTCATTACAAAGACAACAAAAAAACCCTTTCAGAATGCCCTAAACTTTGTTTTGCTTCCTAAGACCATTTTATTATCTCATAAGATTAATACACTCTCCACTCCATTAGAACAAACTTGTGCTAAGTTATGATTAATGCAAAAGTCTTCTCTCAAGTATCTGAAGGGTTTTTTCCTTAAAACGTTTGTTTAAAAAATTTAAAAATGGGACAATATAGTAAAGAATTTCTTTGGATATTTTCTTATTGATATATTAGATTATTAGCTTATTTTCTGTTTAAAATACTAGATTTTAATACTTGGAGCTGTGAACGTCTAGCTGTCATACTACATGGCAAGTACCTTACTTTACATAAAATATTCCAGATGTGATGTACAGCAGTGATTTTTTTTTTTTTTGACATAGTTGAAACTATACCTATGTTCTTATCTAAAAAAGCCCAACAGAAAAACATTAACTTTCAGATAGGAGGTAAGACTCCTATAGACTCAGATAAGATGAATTCTCTGAATTATTATTTTTTTTTTTTTTTTTTTCCCCCTTTAAATTTATCTTGACTCAGAAGGCTTAGTGGTGAGGACATTGAAAAAGCCATTCCTCTTCTGGGATAGTTCTAGCATGGCTGACTTTAGCTCCAGAAATGTTAAAGTTCAGAAGTTTATGAACAGTCTCACAGAATAGCTGGGAATTGTGTTCATTCTCTCCTGTCTTTGTTAGTGGTTAATGGGTTTACACATCAGCAGACAAGAACAAGAAGTGAAGTTATATTTTTGTGAAGCTAGTCATATTATTTTTAAACTTTCCCACTGTTACATGCACAGGGAACTAATCATGTAGGGAAGTGTTTTATTCCAATACATCTTTGCCAAACAAGATTTGCCCTCACTGTTGACAAACTTGTAGAGAAAATTATGATGATAATATGTAGTTACGGTAATACTGTGAGAGGGAGGAAAGGGTGTGGTGAATCTCTGCCCTGCTAAAACTCTGAATAGCAGCAAGCATCTTTCTGAGGTAGGTAAAGACATTGAAGGCTTCCATGGCCCTCACAAACTCTGATAAAGAATATTTTGGAGGAAGTTGGTGTGATGGATGTTCAGATGTTCCAATGTCATCGAGCAGCTTTGTTTCCCTTACGAAAACATCTTGTACATATTTTTTTGCATTAGATCCTGATAAGGGGATGACAAAATATATTTTATAATGGCTACAAATTGCGTATTTTATGATAACTTGGTAGGGAAGGGATATTGTAGATTTAATGCTTTCCGTCTGGCAGCAATTAGTTCTGCTCTGAGACATTTTTAACTCCTCCCACTTCAAAGAGAGTTGCAATTTGTGGCTGTTAATAATGGTGTAAGCCCCAGGACCTCTCATACTATTGTGCTCAAGCAAATACGAAACAAGTTGCTGTCTTTCTCCTAAATTTCCCTGTTAGATGTTTCTCATGGGACTACCTTGCTGAGTACAATGTTAAACAAGCAAACATGTTTGTTTATTAAGTTCATTTTTTAGATCCAGTTGGTTGCCTTTTCAAATATTAGACCAGACTTCTTGTCTCCATTTCCATGGGGAAAAGGAGACTGTGCCTGCAGTGGCATGGTGGCTGTCGTGTTTAATTGGTACAACAGGGGTTTTGTTCATTCATTCCTAGCTCAAACGAGCTGTTGCTACAGTAAACAAAAAAAAATATAATTAAAGATCTCCTTTGTACAATAGGTATTTTTGTGCAGATGCTGTAATGCATGCTTGCTTGGATGTTTTTCCTTCCTTTTTACAGCAATATAAATTATGATTTCTGGAGATGAAAAAAGTAACAAAGATGCTTTTGTTATGAATTTTTCCAGTTGGATGTGAACACTTGATAAATGGTTGTTTTGTATAACTGGAATACAAGGGTTGAAGGAAGGTCTTGTTTTACTTTAGTATTGATTTATTGAAGAAAAAAACCCAAAAACCAATAACCAAAGCTACAGTATTTGGTGATACAGTGGATGTTATGTATTGAACATTAATATTTTAAGTAGGAATATTTTAAAACAGTCTATCATAATGACATCACAGTCCTTTGACTGAACTAATGATTTGCATTTTATTCTTTCTTCCTTGCAAAACTGAGGAAATTGTGTGTCATTTATAATGCTGTTACCTTTGCATTACTTTTTTTAGTCTTATTTTTTGTATTGCACAGTATGACATGCAATTTTTCACCTGAAAATCGAATATTATTGCACTAAAATATATATTACAGTGAATTCATTTTTATAATGTAGTGTAGTAATATAAATGCAGCACTTTTCGTCTGCATCTAGTAACTCAGTAAAATTTCCAATTCTGATGTATAAAGCTGGTGACTTCATTTGAAATCATGCACAATTACAGTGCACTCACTTGTATGATTGCATGAGATGTCTTTGAACTATACTTCTACTTTATGGAATTCTGACAATCTTAATGTTTCTTATCTAACAGACTTTCCAGGCTGCTATCAACCAAGTGTTTCCTGCAGAGGAGGATAGCAAAAAGGATGTGGAAGATAATTGTAAGTTATGAATTTAAAAATAAATTACGCATTTGAAAAAAATATATGCAATGAAATGAATATTGTTTCCTTACAAGTTTCCTCTTTCTTCCTTGTTGTCTTTGTTTGAATTTATGTATGACCTTTGCTACTCCTTTAAACTTCTTAAAGGAAGCCCATTTAAAATATAATTTATTGTGGGTTTTAGTTTTCATTTGAACACTTTAGAGGAATGGATACATAATTCCTATATAAAACTGTTGCTTGACTTCCAAAATACTCCATTCAGCATTAGGGGTGTAACTGTACTTTTTATAGTGTGACAAAAGACTCGGTGTCTTTATCAGCACCTGTATTTGTATAGCATTTTCCTGCATTTAAGGAATTTCTCAGATAGCATTCCTGTGGAAGTAGAGGCAATGGAACATAAGTTTTAAGATTACCTTCCCAAAACTGGGAATGGAATCTGGACCTATCAGGACCACTGAAAATGATAGACTTGAATTGGATATATGAGTGCTGGTGGAGAAGCAGTTTTGAGGTGAGCTTGTGTAATAAATGTCACTGTTGATCTGCAGGGCCTTTATTTTATTAAATATTTTATAGTTAGGTGGATGGAAACAGTTGTCAAATCTGGGGAGAGAATACTGACAAAGCTGAGTGAGGGCTGTGATCAGCTTTTAGACAACTGTTAAATATTTTGCTGTTGCTGCACCCTATGAACAAATCACAGAATCCTGTCTTGAATACTGATGAAGGCAAGTTTTTCGACATTTCCTATAGTGTTTACTGCTTGGTGAAAATACTGAAGACTTTGTAAATAGTGGCCAAAAATACCTTCTATTGTTCTTAGTTTAAAATAGAGGCTAGGGGTCTGGTCTAGGTGATGTAACCTCAGTTCCTGTCCTGTAATAGGGTTTAGTATTTACATCCCATGACAGGAAATGCAGCTGTTACAGCTTCTCCATAAGAAACAAAAAGATGAGATCTGAGTCTTATGATCTGACTTAGATGGTGCAGTGTGGTTAGAACCAAGCTGGTAGCCTTGCTTCCAGCTGCTTATATTTTTGCAACAAAGATGTGGGTTCAAACTTTTCAAAGCTGTTATCTGTATTCTCTCTACATGGTGATTGTTAGGGAAATGCACTTAATCTGTGGATCTGTCCCAGTGATTTTACTGAGATGTCCTGACACCTCTGTGTCCTGGTCAGGGAATTGAAATCTAGAATGAGATTATGGAAATAATTTAAGATTCCAAGAGAATACTATTCAACTAAGTTAGTCAAAGAAAATATCTTCTTTGGCTTTGTGAGAAGATAAAAGTTAAAAATCCTTTGTTCAATAAACCCTTCTGTATCAAACATTATTTTAACTTTCCAGTATATTCTAACTTGCTGCTCACAAGTTGCAGTTCATTTGCAGGATGTGTGAATCCCAGATTCAATTTCCTGCTCTGTCAGAGAGTATTTGTGTTCAGTATCATTGATTTCTAAGAAAAACAACTACACTGAGTGCTTATAAAACTGTTCTAAAAAATCCTGAAAGGACAGGGTATTGGATAAGACTGTTAGAAAATCCCCAGTTCTACAGATGCAGAGCCTTGCAATTAATCAAGAAAATAATTTTCAGTAGAAACCCTGCTTCATGGTATGGGCAGGAGAGCCACTGTGACTAAATTTGGCATTGGCATTTCCTAGTTTTTAGTGCCTCACTTCACTTATGTGGACTATGTGTGTGTGTAAGTAAATATATGGAGAAGTAAATGCACATATATAACATACTGGTTATATTTAGACATGAGCATATGAATATTCAGAATTCTCTCTGGTGACTTCCTTTGCCTTTGGATATGGATGCCTCTTCTAAAGGATTTCTGCTAAAGAAGATGCATTTTGAATTTGCTGACATAAGCCTTAGTTTGCATGTCTTGAGGTGGTGGCATTCCCTTGGGGAGCAAGCTCCTATTGCACACTGAGTCTGCAGGTATAGCTGCTTTAATTGTTATGAGGGCAATGGGGACACAAGGAAATCTGGGGTCCTTTGCTTCTGAGATAAGCAACCTAATAAAAAGTTGATGATTAACTGCTTCCTTTAAAATACTGCGAATGCAGAGAGGTTCCTACAAAGATACAGTCAAGGGTGTTGATAGACAATTACTATGTAATAATTTCTCATCTCAATACTGAGGATCCAAATGACTTGAAGTTTGCTAATTTTTTACCACGCTGTCCCCTCCCAGGCACACAGAGGGCCAGAAGGAGACTTCAACTTTCATTAGAGCAAGCAGGAGTTTCTGTTTCTGGCCCATTTCCTTTTAATGTCTCTTTCTCTAGGGATGACCCCAATAAAAGAGGTGAAGGCAGACCTGTTATTTGTGGTCCCAGTGCCATTTTCTCAGCCATGTGAACTGAGAATGCCTGGGGAAGGGAGGACGAGTCCTGCTGTGCAGTGCAGCGCCGGGTGTCTGTGCTCGGCTGCCACAGCTCCCGGTGACTGTGGGGCTGTGGGGGAATGTGTGTCTGCTATGCTGGCAGAGGAGGAACTGTGGGCATGGGGGCCAGGCTGCTGTTTCATGAAGGAGTTGTGTACAGCCATAATTTCAAGGCTGTTATGATCCAAAGGGAGAGATTACCTAGGGTAAAGCTAAAGCGTGCCTTGTGTGCCTCTGCCAGCACAGGAATATGAGTGCAAGGGGTTTTGTGGAGGAAGGTGGTTTCTTCTGAACAAACCAGAAGCTGCAAGGTCCTTTGAGAAGTGTAAATGATTCCAGATATTTGAAACAAAGCTGTATTTAGTCATGTAATGGAGGGAAGGGCTGTTATTCAGCAGAGCTATGCAAGCCAAAGGGAGGCTGCAATTTGCTGGTGAACCTGACTTTGTTTCAGGCCAGTCTTAGTGCAGATAAGTAGGGGACAGAGCCACCTCCACTCCTCAGTCCACTGCAGGAGGAAGGGTAAAAAAAAAAACACAGATGTTTCTGAGAAGCTCCCATTTTCCTTTGCCAGTATATTTTGGTTCAGAAGGAGGAGTGTTGAAAGAGATGTTAAGAGCTGCTTACTGAACTTCAGGTATCCTTGCGGGGCAAGGTGGCTGGGCAGGTTGACTTTAGGTCGTACAAACTGACAGCCCTTTTTGCACATTTGTGTAAATAAGTTAGAATACTTTTTTGCTGCTGCAGCCCTTGAGAAAGGGTGTCAATTTAACATAAAACAACTTTGTTGGTCATTATAGATAAGAGGTGTGTATGTGACCCTTGTGTGAGGTGCAAGCTAGTGGTTACTCTTACAGAATCACAAAACCAATTAGGTTGGAAAAGACCTCTGAGATCACTGACTCCAACCTCTGACTGACACCACCGTGTCAACTTGACTGTGGCATAAAGTGCCATGTCCAGTCTTTCATTAAAAAGAAAAGACATTAATGGTACAGTGCTTACTCCATCTATAGTTGGATGTGTACAAGTTTTTGTACTGTATTATTATAAGGTTTATCAGTGTGGCAGTCTGTCAGCTGTCACTAAACAAAATAGTACATTTTGATTTGAAGCAGTGAGATACAAAGGATTGAGCATATTTGAAAAAGGAGGCTGTGTAATGCGTAGTGCCCTCATTTGGTTTAGGGAAAATATTTTTAACAGTGTTATGGTGGGAACTGGAAATTACCTCTGTAATTAAGGCTGCTGACACTTTCCAGTGCTTTGTAGCTGAAAACAAGGACCAGCTTTGCCAGAATTTGAACCTGTACAGTCTGAACCTTTCTGTGGGTGCAACCACCCTGTAACATTTCAGCAGTTACAGAATCACAGAATGTTCTGATCTGGAAAGGACCCACAATGATCATTGAGTCCAGCTCTTAAATAAATATTATCCTATACAGGGATCAAACCCACAACACTGGTCTTAGTAGCACCGTGCTCTAACCAAATGAGCTAATCTCTGGGTCAGGTGTTTTATGTTAAAGAAGAAAGGAGAAAAATACAGCTAGGTTTTGATGAGTTAGCATTTTTTCCCCCCTAACAGTTTCTCTGAGGAGGCCTAGTACTCACAAAATTCAGAATGGAAGCAGGGATGGGTTAGTGCCTGGTATTGTGATGCTGCTGTTGCTGCCTCCAGATCCAGATTAGATGTTTATATTCATCTATTCAAAAATCACCAAACCCCAGCTGTTACTCTGAATGTCAGTTGGTTGGCATTACCCTAGGGACACTGTGGCTGAGATTGGAGAGGGAAACTGGAAGGAAGGAAATAGTCATTGGTAGGGATTTTGGGAGGCAGCAGTTTCTGTGCTTAGAGGCTGGTGTGAGAAGCTTACACTGAGCAGAGCCTGTATTTGAGGCTTCTGCAGTCCAATTCTTTGTTCAGCAGCTTTCTGTAACTCCAAATGTACAGTTAAGAGCAGGTTTGTGGTTTTTAAAATGTATATAGAGTCAGTACTCCTGTCTCAAGACAGTGTGAAGAAATGATAGGATTAAACTGTAAACAAAGAGAGGGGAAGAAAATTCTCCTTAATTCAAGATTTAGGTTTTTTTCTGTACTTAAAGGTAGTCCTGAGCTCTTAATGGTATGTGATTGTTTTTTACCTGCAGGTTCCCTGATGTATTTAAATGAAGCCACTCTCCTTCACAATATCAAAGTTCGGTACAGTAAGGACAGAATTTACGTAAGTATTCTGTGTCATGACAACCAGTCTAATAGAGATGCCCTTTCAAAAATTCACCAAGTGTTTTCACTTCTGGTTTTTTTTCCCTATAACAGAACTGCTAATGTGGAAAGGTCGAGGTTGTAGGCCTTTTTTCCCCCTTTTTTTCCTTATAGTATACTTTTAGATCAGAATCCCATCTGATTTTTAGCAGGCAGCGCAATAGGTTTTTCTCTCCATGACTGTGTGCAACCATAGCACAGCTTTGTATCACAAACGTTCCTACAGGTAACTTATTTCACTGTTAACAAAGATGGTTTTCTTTCTTCATTATTTTTGAACGAAGCACACAGGTGCCGTCTTTGACACCTCCTGGCTCAGATGTCCATCTTAATCTTTTATATTGCTATCAAATTGCCTAATTGTACTTAATGAATTCTGACTAAATTACATTTTGTCCTTGCCATCTGCCCAGATACTGACAGCTGTGAAACAGAAGATAAGAGTTTTCTTTCTTTCTTAATTTTTTTTCCTAATAGAAAGCTGGCTAGGGATAATACAAAACAGTTCTACACATTTTAAAGTGTCTGTGTTAAAATAATCAACTTTTCTTTTAGCATATATTATAAAATTAATTTAGCTAAACCCTTTTGTATAAAAAAGAGAAAGTATAATTGTTTTCTTCTGTTGCAGTTAATTTACATAGCTTTAAATTTTTTATGGCTCAAGATCAAGCACTAGCTTTAAAATATAAATAAATAAAAATGGCCATTTGAATGCTGCTCTGGAAAAATAATCCTTAAAGAAACCAAACAATAAAACCACCCAAGGAGGTAAAATTCTGAATATGAACTGATCATGGGATTGGATAGTATTTTCATAAAGTAGGATAGTAGTTCATAAAGCCTTTCTTCAGTGTAAACAAGTACTACTAATGTGATGTCTAGAACACATGTATTTTCTGAAGGAAAAAAAACCCCTTTTTTTCAGTTTATAATTTAGCTACATTTCCGTTGTGAACAGTTTAATGCATTTTTAAAAATCCTGGTTAACAATATTTATCTTGTTATTAAAAGGAAAATTAATATTAGTATTTGCAACCCTTGAAGGAAAGTTTTCCTTTGGTGAAATAAGTGCTGAAAATAGAACTATTTAAGAAATGTCATATATTGTGTGATCCAGTTTTCTACTGATGTATCACACAATCGTTTCCAAATTTCAGTTTTCTAGGGACATTCTCAGTAACAACAAAGTAAACAAGTTATTCAGGCTGAAGGTTTGCCTAATTTTCTTCACATCTTTTCCTGCAAATCTGATTTTTAATTTGATTCTGACCCCTCTTCTTTCCTGTCTGTAACCTGGCAATTATAACTAAGCTATAAGAATTTCTTTCAGAAACATTAGAAAAACCCTCTCTTCAGTCTTCCTTGTCCTGTGGAAAGGTAAAAAACAGCCTTTGTCTGAGATTCTTCTCAAATTCCTTCTCTGTAAAAGAACATTTGCATTCTGTATTTCTCTCTGTAGAAGCAGCTATAGCTAATTTTCTCTTGGCTGAATGCTTTTATTGCCGGGCTTGAATGCATTCCCAGGCAGGATCCTGTCAGTCCTTCCTGCTGAGTTGCTTCCATTAGATATTGAAAAACTATCCTCCTCACTGGAGGACAGTGTGTTATGCTATCCATGAGCTTAGTTTATTGGCTTTTGAGCAGCAGGTTTTGGAGTCCCGTCCTTGGTCCAGTAATGCAGACAATAGGAAATAATTTAAAAGGAGACTGGGAGAAAGGTCAGATTCAGGACATACTCCGCAGCTCGCTGGTTAGGAAATTTTCCCAGGATAATTTCATAGAAATGCTGAGAAGATAATTAAAGGAACTGTAAAAATATATCCTGTCTTGTGTTTGCATTAGCTGGAGAGGATCATAAATGCAATTGTTTTATGGAGGTTATAGTCTGCAATAGTAATAGACAATTGCTGTTAACCACTTGCTTGGATACTGCCTAGTAATTTGCTGTTCATTGTTTTCTTCACAGACCTATGTAGCCAACATTCTTATTGCAGTGAATCCATACTTTGATATACCTAAGTTTTACTCTTCAGATACTATTAAAAAGTACCAGGGTAGATCATTGGGAACATTGCCACCACATGTTTTTGCAATTGGTATGTATTGAGCCTGTATTTGTCTCTTAAAAAACCAAACATTGAATACTTCAGAGTTATCTGTAAATTGCCACCTGTAGTAGTAATTAACTTACTTTGAACTATTATAAAACAAAATCACTACTGGCTAAAATTGCAAATCTTCTCATCTTTTTGAAGAACTTGGAAATGAGGAACTGTGACAACTCTGTTAGGGTTATTCTGCACTTCCAGTGTTTTAAGTCTAAGCACTGTAAATATAATTTGCAACCATTAAAAAAAAAAAAAAACAACTAAAAAAGAAATTCAAATTTTATAAGTGAAAGAGGAGTAATAATGATTTACATTGTCTTTCAGTGTAATAATTTTTCTTTGCCTTAAATTATGTTGGCAGAGCACATACAATGTTTTCTTTTATATGCTCGTGTTACAGACAGAAAGTACATTCAAATGTTATTTGTGGCTTAAATCTGATTTCAGTCACTTTTGAAAAAAAATTGGAAACTTTAATCAAATTTTGACATGTTAAAAGCCTTCTCATTGTTTTGTGTTTTATTTTGAAATCAAAAATATAATTAGGTGGGGTTTGAGTACCTGTTGCATAGCAAGAGAGATTTTTTCCAAGCTTCCTCAGATGTTACTTGTTGCAAAGTACAACTGAAATTTTCCCTTTTAAAAATATATAAAATTAACACTGAAAACTATTTTCTAAATACATTTAATTAAAAAGATTTAGCTCTAGATGGTTCATTTTGTTTTGTTTTATTCTGGATATAGTTGAATAGGCCTTTGTTTCCAAGACTTTAGTTCTTTCATGTCAGTGTTGGAAGAATTACAACTATAGTATAAATTAAAGGGAAACAGAATTTAATAAACTGTAATTCATTCAATTGTAAATATTTTGTTTCTATTTCTGAAAATGTTACATTTTTATTTTCTGCATTGTAGCTTAACTTTATCCTTGCATTTCTGATGAGTATTAATTTTTGTCATGTTAACCATATTCTTTTTAAGCTGATAAAGCATTCCGTGACATGAAAGTGCTTAAGATGAGTCAATCCATCATAGTCTCTGGAGAATCAGGAGCTGGCAAGACTGAAAACACTAAATTTGTTTTGAGGTTTGTATGTTTGCACCGAAGTTAGTATGTGAATCTCTTGTGTTTATGCATTTGGTGGACAAAGAGGCAGAGCAAACTAAGCTCATCAGTGGGTTTAAGATACAATTTGGTAAGACATGTATTAGTTTCTACATGCACTTTATTACAAGAAATTGAGTTAAATGCTGACATGATAATGTGCAGAAATAGCTACATTCAGAAACTTTAACTCAGTTGTAGTGACATCATGTAGTTATTAAGGTTTATGATGCAGTCATTTTGGTATTGCACATCTGGTATTGTGGTTGATAAAAAATGTAACTAGACATATTGACTGTATCTTGCAAGACACTGTTGGTTTTGCCATAAATGTGTATTTCTGTGTTCTCCCTGAGGTTTTTTTTTTGTTTGCTTGAGTATCTTTTTACCCTTGTTTACTGAATAAGACTGAATAGTGGAATTTATTTATTTATTTATTGATGTTCATGTACGACCAATACTAAATCAAGTGTATTAAATTACATGGAAAGCCATATCGCTGATATATATCAGCCTTGCTTCCATATCTGCATTATCTTTTAATGGCTTTTTATCACTCTGGAACACTGTAAGTAGAAAGAACTGTTCCTTTAAATACACCTATGCCATAGGTGGCCTGATGATGCAGGGAAGCACTGTGTGGGCAGTGTAAATATGCTCCCGTGCCCTGCCTTGGACTTGTTACCCTCTACAAATATTTAATTCCCTTTTCCCTAAAATCATGTATTTTCTAGTATTTCCCTACAATAGAGGTATTATTTTCCACATCCTGTGAAGAATTGTCACAACTGCCTGTCTGTCCTTCATACTGCTCCGCGCTGCCCCTCTGCAACCTTTCATAGATAGCTGTAAGAATTACTGCAAGGTGCTGGTAATGATTTTTTACAAGGAACATCTGACTCTATTCCTGATAAGAGTAACAGACAAAGACAGCAGGCACTGGAAGAATATCTCACAAGAGATGCTCTTAAGGGAGATTATTCTCCCACTTCTCAGCAAAGGCAGAGCTCATTATACAACAGGCAAATATCATTGCTGTTTCTTCTCCCCACCACCCTCCACCATAGAGTCCCTGTACAAAACATAACTGAGTTTTAAAAGCTGGAAGATGTTACCCTTGGGTTTTTAGGAAGTTAAAGGTACTAGTAGAACTCTTTTAGTGCTTCTAAAGTTTTTTGGAAGGCCCCATTTTCGAGAGCTATTTTTAATTGGTCCCAGATTCACCTGTGAATTTCCAGAAAGCATGCCCTGTGAGCAGGGAAAAAATTGTTAAAAAGACTGGAACTTTGGAGCAAGTAGATTGTGGTTTTATTTTCGAATTCTTTCTTCAGTTGCCAAATTGAATCTTGCCTTAATTGTACACCTGTAATTTCTGATCCTCACCATCTCCATGTGGATTTTCATTAATACTGATAGTTATGAATACAGAAACAGTATGGATGGCAACAGTCCCAAATTCAGGAAATAAACACAAAACTTTATGTATTTAATAAGATTATTAATAAATACAGATAATACAGTAATAGTTTAATTATATTTCTACTAAACTGTAATTATATTTCTACTAAACTGTAATTTTCGTATGCATGTTGAAAAAATATTTCTAGCAGGCCTTGGAGTATTGAAAAAAAAATGGAAGTGTGCAAGAATATTTTTGTTTTAACAAAAAAGAAAAGTTAAAAGTTTAAAGTAAAGTTTATTTCAAAGTGCATACGTATTTGAAACTTAAAATCAGCATGCTTTCCCTATAGTAATTAGTTAGTATTTGTGCATAGCCATGTTAAACCCTGCTTAAGTGAAGAAATCTGACATGAGATGAATGATACTGATATTTTTATCTTGGTTTACAGGTATTTGACAGAATCTTATGGCAGTGGGCAAGATATTGATGATAGAATTGTAGAAGGTATTGAAGTTTCTTTCATTTAACTAAAGTTTCCAACATTTTTTTTTTCAGAAATGTGACTCAACAGCAAGTGAACAAAAGTAGCATAGAAATACTGTCAGACTTTCTAGAGCACAATTTACAGTTGATCTTGATTCCAGGTTTTAAACATGTTTTATTTGTGATTCACTTTATTTTTATTTATTATAGTATCATGCTGTCATTTATCTAGAAAATGTTTGTGTGTGTGTTTGAATTGAACTTTACACATATAATGTACTCGAGGTGGTACCCAAAATGGAATTTTAAACTGCTTAAAATCTGCGAGGACAAGATTGTTTTTTCATTACTATCTCTTAGTACCAGAAAAATATAAGTCCTCCTCCTCACTATCAAGTTCTCAAAGCCAAATAAAGTAAGGAAGTTCTTTCAAATTATGATTCTGGATCATATTTCCATTATATCATTTTTTGTCAGAAATCACATAATTCAGAACAGCACTTTGACTGTATCTATCTTTACAGTAGACACCCAAAAAAGGTGAAGAGAGACTGTGTTGATCCTTCTCATTGAGCCTCTTTAATGTTGCGTGTACTTCCTATATGAACAGAAAATAGCTTTTTGAGAAAATAGAACCCTCAGCCAATCTAATAATTCCTCATACATCAGTTTAAGTCCTCTATAGCATAGCATAAATTTATTTTGAAATTTCTCAACTCTTTTTCTTAAAAAAATAATTTGGTTTAAATTTTCCTGTTTTCAAATTTGAGCCACTTATTCAAGAGAAGCACTGCAGGCTTTAATCTCTTGCTGCTTTAGGTCTGCTTAAACCAGTTCCTTAGTGAAATCCACTGTGTGCTAAAGGAACTCGGAAAGTGGGCAAGAGTTAGATAATGCCTGATGCAAATTAATTGGTACTTGTAGGTATTCCTCAAAGAGTTTGGGATTTTTAATTTAAAACAGCATCTGATGCATGAATTCTGAAGGTTCTCAGGCATGGTTTTAATGAACATGCTTGAGGCATATGTATTACTAGAGGAACCTTTAGCCTAGCTGAAAGACTTTGTGCAATTTGGTTTTATTAATAATCTTTTCTTTAAAACTTCATATCACATAAAATGCCTGAATAGTTATCAAAGATCTTGTAAGAAGTCAGATTTGCATTTCTATGAACTTTAATTGTTAAGAAAGTGAAAATACAGCCGAACAAAAAAGTTAATTCTCATGTCCTGTTACACGATGTATTATCACCCATATTTTATCCAAGCATTGATGTCATTCCTTCATTCTTTAATTTTTGTAGGAGCAGATATTTAAATGGTTGTCAGTGGAGTTTTAAATATGAGTTTCTGCTTGCTTAGTTTCCAGTGTTTATTTTAAGCTAGAAGCCTTAAAGCCTAGCTGATATTTTTAGTTGTTTATTGTTAACGTGATTTAGTAAACTATTTTTCTTTGATCTTCAAAGCTAGTAAAAAGCAGTCTTTCAGAGGCCTTTTATTTCATAATTAATAAGGAGTTTCAAACTGTTTAAACTGTGCATGATATTTGTATGAGTGTGTATATATATAGACATGAGAATTAGATTGCTTGCTGCCACTCTTTCTGTATGGGCTGAAACATGCTGAAAAGCAGCAGCCAGTAAAAAATAAAATCAGTCAGTCATTTAATTGACCTAATTTGAAAGACAGTGTTAAGTGGTTTTTGAAGTCAACACACTTTTCTAATGTTATATTTATTAATCTCCAAGTCAATCTAATACATTGCATGCATGACATTTAAGTGGCATTTTCGTCTGTGGAATAAGTGGGTAGTTTAGATTTCATGAATAATAAATAATTGGGATGTGTCAAATTCTGTGCTGTCTAACATAGTTTATGTATCAGTTATTTACCTACTTCCTATAGAAGAACATCACTGAATAACTTTTGGTATTTGTCTCTGAATTTCTTGCAGTATTGATTCAAGTACATTGCAGTGTTATGAGACACTTAAGTACTTAATTTTATGTTCTACCACAATATATCCAGTATAATTTGCAAAATATATTATTCCTAATAGGTAATATTTTTCCTTTAATTTTCAAACCTTATTCCAAATAAGTTCCCCGATTAATTATATCTGTTCTCTCTTTCTTTTCGGTAGTTTCCTGACTGAATTTTAACACTACAAAAATTAATTTTTTTAAACAGCAAATCCCCTATTAGAAGCTTTTGGAAATGCAAAGACTGTTCGCAACAACAACAGCAGTCGTTTTGGGAAATTTGTTGAAATTCACTTCAATGAAAAGGTACTGGGATTTTGTTACAGATAACCAGTGATGATTTTTTTGCCACATAATGGAAACGCTAGACTGGCAGGAGGCTGAACAGACTTACTAGTCTTGCAGCAAATAGCCACTGTCCTACTTACAGATTCGATTTGTATTGTGTCACCTTGAAAGAAAAACCAGAGCCACACTGTACTGTCTCATTACTGGAAGGCAGTGGCAACTCAACATAGGAAAATTGCTTCCACCAATAAAAGATTAAAAAAGGGTCCCTTCATTGCATATGTGAGGCTTCCCATATGAAGACTAACTCACTTGCTGTTAGGTATTCATCCATTCCTTTAATGCTCAAGTAATTGTAAGCTGTGTATTAGACATGAACATACTTCGACTTCAAACTTTTTAAATGTATTTGTATGAAATTTTGGGACCTTACATAGTAATCTGTGTGTGACAGATGTCAAGGAATTGGTTTTTTTGATAGAAATACTATTCTACTGTGTATCTTAAGAAAAATTTTCTTTGTTCAAGTGTAGTTTTGTTTGGGTGGGATATGTATGCACACATTCCACAATTAAGAATGACTGTATGGTTGGTCAGTATGTCCAAATTGAAGAATCCTGTCAAGGTTCTCTGGAGATTACACACATGCTTCCTCATCTTTCTGACTGAGGACAGACCAACTGCAACAATTTGTTTCTTTTCCTGCAGACTTATTTTCCTAAGTTTTCATCACTTGGTTTGTAATTTAAATTCAGAGCTTTTGTTAATAGTTTACCTAGTAATTAACCAAATTTCTTTGTGGGGAGAGGGACTTTATCTGTTGGTCTGGTTCATTTTAATAAAGTTATGGAAAGGATCAAAATTTTTACTTAAAATGATAAATTCATGATCTGATTGATTAATGATCTGTCCATCTACCCATCTACATGGTGGTTCAGTTGAATTACTTCAGCTGAAGCAAAAAGCCCTCTGAGTATCTTCAGAAACTGCTTCAAAGCTTGTTTCAGCTTTCCACTTCAAGATCAGCCTGTTTACTTGAGCCCCTTTTTTACAAAGCAACACATCTCACTTTGTGGTCACCTTTTTAAGTCTAGTTTCTCAAAGTGACATGAGTACTGAGACCTCCTGAATAAAGGAACGAATGCATAACTGCAATCAAATTTGTCAGTCAGTTAATCTTTCTTAATTCCTGTAATGGCCATTAAGTTCAGGAATTTCCTTACTGTTAAGATTTTTCTAGGCACAGGGAATTTTATCGTAGGCTAGATAAGAAATAGCTCTCAAAAATCTGTGTCAGAATTCCTTCTCAATAAAGAAGTACAAGTGTTGGAAATAAAATGTTGTGTCATAATTTTGCCTAAGATGTTGTCCAAATATGTATTCTAAAATTTTAACCCTTCCTTTTATTTTACAAGAATCTCAGTGAAATGCAGCTAAAGAAGGTTGTAATAGCACTGTCATACAGAAAGTGTAAGGATGGCTGTAGCAATGCTCTTTGCTGTAACTCCTGAGATTCTGCTATGGATTTCTGCTTTTTGGGGTGAAGAAGACCTTTCTTTTAAGAAGAGTGTATGTATATACAAACATGAGCTGGGGAGAGAAGTAATGGTAAAAGCAATGGTTTTTTTTCTAGGCTTAATATGTATTAGGTATAGATAGCTTTTTATCTTTTCTGGAGCAGTTTCTATTGAGCGAGTCATGATCAGGCAAAAGTAAATTGAAAACCTGAATCTTAAATAATGCTACAGATATTCAGATAATCAGAAAAATATTTCTTCTTCCTAGAACTCGGTGGTTGGTGGATTTGTGTCACACTACCTTCTGGAGAAATCTAGGATTTGTGTGCAAGGCAAAGAAGAGAGGAATTATCATATCTTTTACAGGCTTTGTGCTGGTGCTCCAGAAGACATTAGGGAAAAGCTATATTTAAGCTCTCCTGACAACTTTAGGGTGAGTAGCAGAGTCAGCATTTGTAAAGCTTGTCATATCGTCATATATGGATTTTTCATACAGATCATATTAAAATCTCTATTTATTATCTTTGACAGACTCATTAAAAACCCCAGATTTTCTTTTTGTTAAATCTATTTGATCTTGGAATCAAGACATTTTTCTTTACTGGAAGAACTCCTATACTTTTTCTCTGTCTTAAAATTCATGAATCTGTGCTTTTCCAGAAAATGTACTGTTGCATACCCAGCTGTTAGTAATGTTGTTATGGGCTGTTCTAGAGATGTAAAGCGTGAATTTCTTCAGTGCAAATCAAATCTCCTGGTAAACACCAATCAGTTCTTTGCTTGTGTTCTGTCATTTGTTTCCATCTCTCACCATTTCTTGCCTTATATTTGGCTTGGAACATTATGGAAGCAGAATTTTGTGTATTCCTAAAATACACAGACCAAATCTCTTGGGTTTTGAAGGGTTTTGTAATACAACAATGTGGAATTACAAGGACATAAGCTAAATGACTATCATTTCTTTAGACTTCCTTGATCTTAAACAAGATGAGAAGCACTGCAAACGAAGAATTAAGTTATTGTGCTGACTGTTTTCTTTGTTGGTTGATCTTCCTACTTGGAGTTCTAAATAAAACTTGGACTGTGCTTATCTGTTGCTTTCCCTTTTGCACTCAGTTCCATCAAAATTCAGCAGAGGGCTAGAAGCTTTAAATATACAAATGTCCTGCCAGTTTTGTGCAAAGCGGGGGTTGCACAGGTGAGACCTAAATCAGTGCACTGGCTGTGGGGAAGGTGGGGTACCCTGCTCACCAAACAGGCAGCTGCTGCCTCTTGGCTTGGCCAAGTCAGTTTCTCCTTATGGATGAGTCAGGAAATGGCTACAGAGCAGCACTTCCACATTGTGTGCATTGTACATTCGTACTGTGCTATCAAGGTGATCTTATTGTCTAAAACCCATGACAGTATTCCAGGACAAGTTTCCTTAATTTCTCAAGGCATTCCTAGGGGTCTTCACAGATCTTACATTATTTCTTTAAACACTTAGTTTGTATCTTTTTATATTTTTTCTATTTGTACTCACCTGTGTGATGGAAACTTGTTCTGATGCTTATTAGGTCCATTCCCTAGAAGGCAAGTTTTTCTTTTGAAACACTCAACAAACACAATACTTAAGAACACCCAACACCATTTATATTTGTAAAATGTGAAGTTAGTTTTCAAAACTTTCTTCTTTACTCTGCAGTTACTCTGTGCAGTACTCTCGTTCTCTTGTAAGATTTAAAGCTAAAATGATTTCAAGTACATGTTTTTATTGTGCAGCTACTTTTCCATTAAAATTTATTTCTTGAAGTTAATAGAATAGTAGTTTCTAGAATATGCTGCCTATCCACTCTTGGAGTTTTTTTTAAAATCAAGAATTCTGCTCATGAGAGAACCCAAGGTTGTAGATGTCAGGGTCAGACTTAAAACCTTCTTAAAATCAGGCTGATGCAGGATAGTACTTAACAGCCTGAGTTCTTTTACAGATGACATTTTCTTGCATATTTCATGTATAAAGAGTTTGTAGTCACACCAGCCTTGTCATGCTGTGACCTTTTTTTGACTTCTACTAAGACTATAGCAGGCACTTTAATTTCCATTAAGGATTTTATTGCTTTACCGTAAGTTAGTATTTGAATTCTGAGTTTCTTGCACGTGAAAGGTCCACTCTGCATGTTAAATTATAAAAGTTTAAAGCAGCTTTTTTCTCTCCCTTAAAGTACATATCTTTAATTAAAAACCAAACAAACAAAATCTTAAGATATTTTTCATCTTTTTAAGCTTGTAAATAAATTTAAATATTCTTAAAGTTTATTACCCATATTCCACTACATTTTTATCAAGTACTATTTTATGGAAGATTTTTAGGAAAACAAAATTGTAAAAGATAATTTTCCTCCTAAATTTGCATTTCTTTTGTCAAGATGATTTTTGTGTTCTTTGTTCTCATTTGCTACTTCAGTTTTCATCACAAAATGGCTCTGAATAAGCACACTTGTGTCATTTTTTTTTACCATGTTTTGTTCACTGCATGTCTGGCTCAGAATTCATAGAAATGGCATCTTTCAAGCCTTTGATAATAGATTGTGATATTACACAAGGCAAAGTTTGATGATTGATCAGTATTTTCCAATCAGTACGAATTTTTTTACAAGAAAGACATTAATAAAAAACCTCAAACTCTAAAATTGGTTATTTAGAAAAGCCCATCCCTTAAGTCACATTGCATTGGCCCTATTGTGCCCCTTGTCTTAAGCCTTATGGCTTATCAAGTCAAAGTGCAAATTAGGACCACTTTGACTTCTAAGACTCAAGCCTTGTTTCTTTAAAGTACGCTTTGTTAGAAATATGACCATCTCAAATTTAAGGTGTTTTTTTTTTTTTTTTTTTTTCCCCCAAAGAAGCAAAAAATTATTAAATCATAAAGGATAACTTAATTATCTTTAATCCTTGGGCTTGCTTCTCTTTGACTTAAGTGATCCTTTGGAATCTCCTCCCCATCCATTTGGCCATCATGGCATAGGGACACATTGCTCTGGGCATGTAAACCACTGCATTGACTGCACCTGCCTGACCTGTCCTCTGGATTGCAGCAGCGCTGATGGCCATTACCTCTATATTAGTTCATCCTTCCCCTGCAGGTTCCCTGGGGAAGTGAGAATTTACTTGGCCAAGGATTATGCAAATAGCCCTGCAGTTCTGCAGGTTTCTTACACACCCATTCTCCAGCACAACCCACATGAAAGCGTGCAGTCCTGGGAGCTTGTGCTTTAGGTTGCCCTGCAGAAGTTTTCAGAAATTCAAGGTCATGAGGAAATCCTGTGCTGAACCTTGTAGGTCTTTGTGCCTTGGACTGAATCACATGGCTGGGAAAGCAAAGCTGCACAGTAAATCTGTACCTGGAGTAATTCTATACCTGGAGAACAGAAGATGGGGAGGAAAAGCCCCATCTTTCTCATTTAAATTTCAGGAAGAAAAGTGAAATTGTCTTATTTTTGGGTCATTGAAGTTACAATGGTGTGTTGTACTTCACTAAAAAAAAAAAAAATCAAGCAAACCATACAAACCAAATCCCAAGTTCAATGGTATTTAGACGTACTGCATGATAACCTGAAACTGTGTATTCGTGTTCTTTTGAAAATATAATTTCTCTCTAATTTAATATATTAGTTTACTCAAATTTTAGCTTTCAAATGAAAGCCATTATCTTGTGATTAAATGTCTTTTATGTAGGTTATAATTTAATACCATGCTGGTTCACATTCTCAACCTGTCAGATAAGTTTCCATGCTCTCTTTTTGAAAAGTATGACCTTTTTCACTTCCCATCCCCAGTTTCTGAGATTGTGTTACTAATGCTGCAATACAGGGATATGTTGTGTTTAAAGTACACTGTGATTTGCATTCTTATTGCCTGATAAAGAAAACTTCTGTACTTTGTTAAACACTAAGCTAGCTTTGAACAGTTGTCACTTTGTTTTAATATTAAATTTGTCACCAAGTTTTCTTCTGCTGTTAGGAATGCTTTGAAGAATATTTTGAGGTTTTGGAATTTTGCATGTAAATTTTAATCAGAGAGTAGGATTGTGTGTGTTCACCTATTAGAAAACATCTTTGTTCAATCAAAGAGTAAAGAATCAGTTCACTTCCTTCAGACAAAGGGCTCTGTCCAAACTTTTGGACAGAGTTATTACATTCAGATGAACAAATCAGAAAGGAAAAGCTGGTGATCTCATTTTGCTGAAAGCAACAATAATTATTTAAATCTAAATTCAGTCTGATTTACTGAACAGTAAATCTGAGATTACTATACAACATAAGGTAGGTATCAGAAGCCAGGTTTGAAATAAGGCTTCTGCTTAGACTATGCTATAAGCTTTAAATATTACTCAGGCTTTTTAATACACTATGTCTCCTCATACCTAAAGAAATATTTGGTGAGGAAAAATTAGTAATTTCATATTACATGTAGGCCAGAAAATTAATTCTTTTGGTTGTTGTTTCTGTTGTTTCTGTAATCCTGGACTCCTTGAATAGGTTTAATAGAATCAAAAAATAAGAAAATATTGTGTAGTTTAATGAATATTCCATTGTGTCAAAAATAATTTTAGTTGTCAAAATCAAGAAACCTTCAATGGAAGTTTGGTACTGTAACAGTTCTTTAATTTTGTAGATGAAAATAAATACATTTCCAAGGAATTAATTATGAACACTTATCATGTTTTTTGTATCAAATGGTTAAATCAAACCGTGGAGGGCAAGCCTTAAATAAAAGCATATGTTTTCCTTACTTCTATCTTTAACTATGTGTTTCCACTTTTTTTATTGTTACAGTATTTAAATCGAGGCTGTACCAGATTCTTTGCTAATAAAGAAACAGACAAGCAGATTTTGCAAAATCGCAAGAGTCCTGAGGTATGTTTTTATCTTCAGTTAGTTTATATTGTTAAGTAATGGAGATAGAGTTGAAAGTGATTACAGTTTTATAGTATGGAATGAAATGTTCATTTTACACATCTTTATAGGTCTAAGAGGGTACTCTTAAAGCTGCTGTATTCAGAACTCTGCTTTGGAGTTCAGTCCTAGAAATACATTTTAACATGCATCATAAAATCCATAAATGGAACAACATATATAAAATGGTTCCCCCTTCATTCTTATAATAACATAACATTGATGCTGCTTGTCTTCTGTGGAAAACAAAAATCTAATACTTTTGTAATTTTCTTTTAAAAAATCTTAACTACTGGTAGGAACAGGGCAGAAGCAATGTTTTTCTGGAGCCATTTTTACTACCTGGAGTTTTGAAATGATGCTCCAAACTGTTCTATAAATCAATAGTGCAACCTCACTTCTAACCATGACTATATTCTCCTCCTCAGTGAACTTTAAAGGTTTTTGTTTTCCCCTTGCTATTAACTTCTAGTTATGCCAGAGCATGGAATTTCCTGGATGAAAGTCTGAAGCTTCAAAACATTTATACCTTCTTGCTCCATGTCTGTTTACATTTTTTAGAACTGGAATTACCAGAATTTATAGCACTTAAACCTTTGAGCTGTTCACATGAGGATATGAAAGAATTTGTTCTGAATTGATAGTATATATGAATTGGAAGTTGTTAAAACATTTAATTAAACTTCTACTCTGTTCTCTAATAAAATTTTCATCAACTCAAAGTATGAAATTCACATTTGTGTAGCTGGAAGGTATTTCAAATATTAATAAAATCCATATTTGTGATTCAGTAGCAGGGTAAGCTATATATATATATCTGACAAAAATACAAAAATAACTTAAGAGCCTCATTCCACCAAGTGCCCATGCCATCTCTTCCATAACTTGGTCTTGAAGCTTGTGCTCAACTACAATAGACTATTCAGATAGTTCCTTTCCTTAAGTCAACATTGTCAAGTCTGCCCCTGGATTTCTAATGGTTGTATTATTGTAACACTGAGCATGTAGTCCTGACCTCTATTGTTAAATGTAGGCTATTTTCTGTAATCAGGGATGGTGGAGAGTCAGATACAAAAATACTTATTTGACATCACTGTGAGGCAGAAAGCTGCTAGATACTTCATTCTTGTCAAGCATATAGGCTAGCATTGGGGAATTTTGCCTCAGTTTACCCAATCTGCTTTTCGTGAAGAATTGCAGTGAATAGGCATAGAGTATCAACATTCACTTATTTTTTCTTCTGGAAGATGAACCTGTGCTATCTTCTGTTATTGATGTGACTTACAGGTGGGTGTTGTCATCAAACTTGCCCTCTGATGGACTTGAAATAAGAGAAGACTTGATTTGAAATGTGTTTGTCTAAATTAAAAACATACTCAAGAGAATAGTTGTGAAAATATGTATGACATGAAGTAGCAGAACATATGATACTGTAATACTTATATGTAACTACCATATCTGTTTGAAGGCTCAATAAAGGATCAAAGTTAAATGATATTTAAACCTACTATAGCTATTTAAACAGGAAATATATTGCCTTGTTCAGGTTTTTAAATTGGAAATATAGTATTTGCTGTCATTTTATAAAAAATATTAAGATTGTTTTTTTGAATAAAAGTAGCTGGAATAATCAATTAATACTTCAATTATTTTTGTGTTTTCCTTATCAGGAAGATGAGGTGATCATTTTACATAACTAACATGTAGTTTAATGTTATTGATGTGCCTACATGTTGTGTGAAGTGAATTTTTCAGATGCATGTGGTGTGTTGTTTTGATAAAAATCATGTTAGCTTATTTGACACTAACAAGGCTTTTATTCAGTTATTCTTTTTAATTGAAAACATTTAAAAATAAGTGTAAAAATGTAGCTCAGTCTGTGCATGCTCATATAGTTTCTTGACTGCATGCAGATGTGTTAATTTCTACTATTTAAACTGGTTTATAGCTAAAATAGCTTTCAATGTATTTAAATTTGAAAAATCAGCAAAATGTTAAATTAGTATTTCAGAACACAGCTAGTATTTTTCTAAGCCATAGACCACTACAAACAACTTTACTGTTTCTTAATTACACCAAGAAGTTAATTAGTCTATTTCTCTAAATAAGCCTGTTTATAATAGGGATAACTCTCCTGGTTCTGATTTGTCCTGGCCTTCTGTCATCCTATTGCAAAGACCTCCATCTTCTTTCAGCTGCTTGGGGCTAGAAGGATTCCTTTGTATTAAATGCTCCAATAGCTTCCTTAGCCAAAGTCTTCCTTCTCCCTGCTCACTATCTCATATTTCCTTGTCCTTAGCAGTCACATTCTCTCTAGCTTCTGCTTTCTGAAGATAGTTTGAAGTTTGCTGTAAAATTTAAGTTTGAAGATCATGCTTCCAAGTATCAACAACTTAAAATAAATAAAGGTTCTTGCGAAGCCTATATTGTATGAAGAACTCGAATCTCTATTTAGTTTGGCATGCTTTGTATGCATTTTGATATGACTTATTCTTGACTGGAAATATTTGCTTACGTTTACTCTAAAGCACTTACATAGAATTTTTTTTTCTTGTTTTATAGTATCTTAAAGAAGGTTCCTTGAAGGATCCACTGTTAGATGATCATGGAGACTTCAACAGAATGTGCACAGCAATGAAAAAGATTGGACTGGATGATGAAGAAAAACTTGATCTTTTTAGAGTAGTGGCTGGTGTCCTTCACCTTGGAAATATCGATTTTGAGGAAGCTGGGAGTACTTCAGGTTAGATGAAATAGAAATTGTTTTTCGTAAAAATACTGAAAATGCCTCTTGATTAGAGACATTCCCTTTGCATGTGAATTACTGCTTTTGAAAGCTTCTTTGTGTTCATGAGTAATTCAATCTTAATTCACCCCATTTCGAAGTCAAGTTTACCTGTCTGTTTTAAAGTTGTACTTCTTTACGTGCTCTGAAAGCAAATAGGGTTGCACTGAAATTGTTCAAGAACTTGTTCAGTGAAAAGTTTGATATAAAGAGCCACTTTGTGTCTTAGAACAATACTTGTATTTTAATGGTAGCTTTAAAGTCCAACTTCTCTCTAATGTCATGAAAATATCTTGACACTAGAAATTAACAACTCCATCTGTAGGGAAAGGCATTATGTCCTTTGGCTTCCAAAAATAACATCGTGTTAGTATTTTGAGATGAAGAAAAAAAGTTACAGCAAAAACCTAAGGAACTATAACTTCCTAATTTTAAGACATTGCTCACAAGATGAAGCAGTACAAGTGTAGTTGGGACTTAATTGCAGAATATGCATGAAGATTGATGAAGGAGAATTAATGATTTGGGAATTGCCCTCATTACCTTACTACTGAAATCAGCCTCTCTAAATTGAGAACTGCTGTCCACATATTCCCGAAGGACTGATTCCCCTGGGTCTCGAGGTACTACAAATACAACTATAGTAGACAACATAAGTATGTAACTCTATCTTGAGTTGCAAGACAGAGTGAAATTGGTTCCTCCTGGTCCTACTTCCAGTATGTATAGCTGTTGGTGCAGTTGTTTGGAAGAACAGACCAAAGAACATTTTAAAAGGTGTTCTGAATGATGAATTAAATGAGTGCTAACCTTACAGGTTTACTAGCTCCTGACTTGTACTTGGGTGCAGAATCAGCACAGTACTGTACAAAACATTTTGTTCAGAAGAGATCATGGGTGGGCTCCAGTCCCCATGAGTCAAATCAGGGCCAGTGCTGAATTCAGACTGGGTAGCTTAGGGTTGGCACAGAGGTGGGTTGTTTTGTTTTTGTTTTTATTTTTGTTTTTGTTTTTTCCACTCTCTACTCTGGATCAAATGAGAACCTCCCCAGTGTCAGTTCATTGTTGCCATCTTCACAAAGATGAAGGAAATGAACATGATTAATGAGAATGAATCTGGGCAGATGCAGGTGTAGAGATGGGTAGTGGCTTTGTGTAGCTCAAACCAGTAAGCTTCCCAGAGAGCTTCCCTGTTTGGGCCTTTTGTGAGTTGTCACTTAGGCATTGACAGGGTTGAACAGTGAAAGAGGCACAGATGTGAGTTTGAGGAGGAAATGAATGAGAAGAGCGGGAATCACAGATGGTAAGGAAAGTCAGGGTTTAGAGAAGGGAACATCACCAGAGAACTTAAGTCCTCTAAATACTGAAATTCAGACCCATTTTTTTTTCTGGAATAAATTATAGATCTTCTAAAATGTAAAGGAACTTTAAAATGTCAATTGATGTATTGAACTTCTAAATTCCAAATATATGTTTTGTTTTTCCCTTACCTTGTGTGTCTACACACAGGGTGTGTGTTCGAACTGTTGCAGGCAGTCTCTCACCAGAGACCCCCTAAAGTTCTGTTGCTGCTCTACTGCAAGCACCAGGAAATACATGTAAATAAGTGCTAGATTTTACTAAAGCGGGTGGTGTTCCACTTGGAGATCTCTGCTGGCCCAGCCCTGGCGCCTAGGCAGCTGCAGAGCAGCAGGGAGTGTACCTCTCTGCTGTTCACCTGGGACGGGCACACAGCCTTATCTGGAAAATCCGAGTGCCAGGAGCCTGCCCTAGCAGCCACTTCTGCTGCATAGCAAGGCAGCCTGGAGGATTACAGGAGCATCTAAGTTCAAAAGTTTTAAGTCACTAGAGTTAGCTTGTAGGGGTTAGCACTTCTGCATTTTGGGATAGTTCTTCCCTACAAGCAGCCTGGACAGTGTTCTAGAAATACAGAATTTCATGCGTAGTTTTTGGGGCGAGGTGTTATTTTTGTGTTTGTTTTGAGGGGGTTCCGTGGGTTCTGAGAACTGCCTCTTGGCACCGAACTGCTGTGAGGGCAGAGGAGACTCCCCTGAGGGCAGCTGCTCACGGTGTGTGTCCGCAGGGGGCTGCACGCCGCGCGCGCGGAGCCAGGCGGCGCTGGAGCGCTGCGCGGCCCTGCTGGGCCTGGACGAGGACGACCTGCGCGGGAGCCTCACCTCGCGCGTCATGCTCACCACGGCAGGGGGCGCCAAGGGCACGGTCATCAAGTGAGTGGCGGCACCGGCGGGAGGGGCGGGGCCGGGCGTGAGGGGCCGCCCGCGCTGGGTGCGATCCGTGCCGGTGGGTGAGCACACCGGCTCAGTGGAATCCAGCTCCGTAACCAGCTGCAGGGGTGAACAGGGGTGCGGGGGTGAGGGGCCGGCCGCGCTGCCCCGCTGGGGTCGGATCCATGCCGCCCCTGCTCACCCACCGGCACAATGGAACGCAGCTCCGTAAGCAGCTGCAGGGTTTAACTGCGGTGCGCTCGCACCGAGCGCCGCTGTCTAAAGCGCTTTTTTAATGCCTCACCGAGCACAGGGGCACCCCCATGGTCGTACAGAAATCGCAGTGCTGAAGGCTAGCAGGCTTACAGCACTTCGAATAAGTAACTCCTGTGTTGTATAAAATCTGTCGTGTGTCAGTGAGTACACTGTGTGGCCAAAGAAAGTATAGCAGTCGGGCGGTTAAATCCACAGCCTGCACAGCAAATTTGATATGCTAAAAGATTTATCAGATACACTCTATCTAGGAATGTTAATGTGGTGCCTAAAGTCTTTTCAGGAGACACTTGAATCTTTCTCGTGAGGGCTGCACAATGCTCCCGTGAGTGCTGCCCTGTAATAATTAGGGCTGGGATGCTTTAATTAGGGGGCAGTATATCCACTCTGAATGTCTCAGTGATCAGTGTCCTTGTGTTTATAATTCTTCTGAAATCAAATTTCAGCACAGAAATGTGCTGCTTTTTTCTGGCTTTGGTAAACACACATTTAATCTTGACTGTTAATAATGTTTCACAAAAACATGGATAGAAAGTGTATTATTTTGTCTTTCTTCATTTTTTTTCTGAAGCTGTTATCCAGGTAACTTCCTAGGCACAGAAGCAAGATAATGGTTCCTTTCTGTATGCACATGGAGACAAATTAAGGCCAAAGAAAATGTATGGTACCAGTGATAACATTTCAAAACCATGAAATTTATGGCTCTTGCAAAACTGAGTTTTATGAAAATGACAATGCAATTACTTTTTACTTATGAAAAAACCTGTAGCTTCCGCCACAATTCTTCTCTTGCTGAGATTTTTCCTAGCACACGAGCTGTCAGGGATGCTAGCTAAATGCCTGCAACTGAATTGTGTGTTTTAACATTTAGTTTTCTATGTTGAGTATTTTCTGGAGTTCACATCAAAAACTGAATTTGGACTAAGCAATTTTGAGCACATTAAAGTAATTCTCAGGGTTCAGCTGAATGTATCAATCTTTTAATTATGGAAGCTAATGAACATTCACTATTTGGAAGAATGCAGGTGTGCTTTTTATTAACATGTGGAAACAATCAGATTGTTTTAGTGAATTGGAAATACTTTATTTACATTACACTGAATGTTTAATACATGAAACTCATAATTATCCGTATTAATGGGTTTTATTTATGTTCCTTACATATTTTGTCTTCACAATTTTTATGGAAATTTATTACATAAATTATTATAAGGGAAAAAGTTCTAATGCAGTGACAAATGATAAATAACATTGGGGGGAGCAGGAAAGGGCAATGTGTTACTCGGCATTCATTTAAAAGCTGAAGATCTAGACCTCTTAATTGTGTATTCAGTAGTCCATTTCTGGAGATTAAATTCTTCTCTCCCTGCCCAGTGTAAATTCCTCCTCTCTCTCCCCCAGCAGTTGCTAGAAATTTGGGACTTTGAGTCATTGTTGTCTTGCTGCCTTATCAGATGATACGGAGTGTTACAAGTAATTTTCCCCCTTCATTACAAGCTTAATGTATAGGAAGACATCAGTCTTGCAGGAAAAAGTGTCTCCAGTGGAAAATATTGACCGAGCTTTTACTATGTGGTCTTTTCCAGACCATGTCTAAACTGACAGCAAAATCTTTTATATATTCATCTAGGAGAAGCTTTATCAGTATTGTGGATAATAGAGTAGAAAGTTACTTATTGTACAGTACAGATGGCACTCATAGTAATTCATGGCAATATGAACATTTCGGATTTTGAAAGTCAATAACATTTTTTACTTAATTCAAGTTGGGATGCATTGCTGATCTTTCTCTGTTGACTTACTGCTTCCCTGGTTATTCTTCATCTTTCATTTGCATTTTTTAATTCTTCTCAGCTTACTACTACCCACTTTCCTTTACTGAAATTTATCTTGTGGATTTTTACATCATGAATTTTTTGAAAATAATTTTGTACGCTAATCTTGTTACCAAGATTTTCTGCTTTCCTAATTCAGTATTATTAGAGCCCATTTTTTGAGAATACCCTGAATTTCACATTCTTTTTAAGTGAAAGTGTTAAATAGAAGCAGAAGGGCTTTGAACGAATTGTATCCATGTCAGATTCAGATGGCACCCCACTGGAAATGCTCTCAGTGGACTGCTGATTCAGCCTCTGAGAGCAGGTTTGTTTTGGCTGTTGTACATGTAGCACCTACATAAGGCTTGTCTGTGTATGTTCCTTTTGAGAATATTTGGTGGGACATATCAAGCTAGCACCATTATGAGGCACACCATGTGATCACTCCTCAAAAGACACTGTCAAGGAAGGTTTCTTAATTTTTGTTACAGCTTTGAGTTTACTTTGGATTAAAATTGTAAAGATTTTCTGATATCAGTCAATTTATCCTGACAAACCTGTAGCGTTATTAGCATTGTGTATTTTCAAAAGTCTGCAAACACAAGGAGCTATGTTTTCATGCCAGTAGATCTTATTTTTCCAGTGTTTTATTTTGAGGGTATCAAAAATGAGTTCAGCAGACTCCTTACAACATGTCAAGGATTAATGCATTAAGCCTCTTTTGCTAGCATTTTTTAAACTTGTGCATCTAAAAGCAGACATGCTCTAATAAATACACCGATGTCATCTCACATGGCTTACTGCATGTAAAAGTGGATTGGACTGTTTTACGTATTCGTTACATAGACACAATTTTTTCCATGGTAGTGTCGTTTAGAAACTACTTGGCTGCTATCACTATTAGAGTTTTGACAAGTACGTTGTTTTTTTTGTTCCAGCAACCCAAAGAGCTGGTCATTTCTCTCTCTTTCTTAGGGACCTTTTGTGTGCAAGTAGATCATGTGAGTCCTAATAGGTCACAGTGAATAAATAGCTCGGCTGAAATCACTGTGCTCAGAGTATAACAAAGGCTTTGTTCTGCTGGGCACAGTGGAGCCAACAAGGAACAGTAGGAGGGTGATGCTAAGTGCAACTGCTCTGGATTTTATTAAATAATCATGTGCAGTGAACTGCCTGGGGGACTTGACAGCTGCACTACATCTATCTATCCTTGTCTCCCAAAACCCCATAATAATTACCTTGCTGGATGATGTTTTTGCCATCCATGTGAAGTGTATTTACAGAGAGAAATAATGTGTTAGGATTCAAAATCTGGTGCTTCTCTTAGACTGTAAATGTGCTACTGTGCTTTTCTCTTGCTCAGTTTCTTATTTGCAAGAGAACTCACAGAGGACTCCATCATCACAAACTAAATTATTTTACAATGTGAAAAAAATTAACTTGCATCATTCCAGGTCCTTCAGCTTCTTTTGCAGTACATTTTCTACCAAAATGCATTTTTTTTAGTGATGCTACTGAAGTGTCCATTGGAAAAACTTTTTCAAAGAATACTTTTCTACATTATTTTGAACTTTAGCTTTTTTCAAATTACAAATGTGCTGCTTAAATTCTTTAATTATGTGGAGTATTTAACTAGGTAGGGTTACTTAATCCAGGCTACTTTATTTATGAACCAATAACCATATTGGATGACAGTAATTGATGGATATTGCTTCACCTGCTCTCTCCCTCAGTTGTTGTCAATCATGGGCAAATTATACATGTTTTTAATTAAAGGTAATTTGTTCTGGAATATATTTGGGAACTAAATCTGCCCCATCCATGCTTTCCCCTAGGTCTCAAACTCTAGATCATTGGTAACCTTGCTGAAGAAATTGGCACGAAGACCAAACAAGGGTTTTTCTTGCAGCCTTGCCAACGTGCTTAGAATTTGGCAATTTTTTTCTCTATTCCATTTAATTAGCTGATAAATTCAGGAGAGAGAAAGAAGGTAAAATGGAGGAAGGAGAATTTATCTTTTCCTGTTCAGGCAAGAAACAAGAGAAAGAAAGAGATTCATTGTCTTTGTGCAGACCAAAGAAAGGAAGAGCTGAGGGAAAGCAAGTTCAATGAGAAGAAAGCGACTTGTTCTGAACATCAGTTCTGTGATGGGGCTCTTGTGCATCTACTGTCTCAGGGCATTTTCAGCATTGTTTAGTGGTTATGAACTTTCAGTTGTGCAAAATTAATTGCAGGGTTAAATTTTCTTTCCATGTGTGTTTGCTGCATATATGAAATTTAACAACAAGGGTTTGTGCAGTCTTTAGAATTGCACTTTAACAGTGGCAGAACTTGCTATTTTGAACACTAAGACCACTTTGTAAATACACGCTCTAGCAGTACAACTGTTTGTCATGTTGTTTTAAAAAGTAAGTGAAAAACATAAATGATTTTCATGTGTTGTATTATGTAAAAGGTCTGCAGCTGACAGGAATTAGTATTCTGATCTCTTAAACGTATCAGAACAAAATGCAAAGGTACCTTCCTTCTATTTATAAGCTGAGATTTCTGTCAGTACTCATTACCTTAAGATAAGATAGATACTTAGTGGAAGACAAGATTGTGTGTTAAAGCTAATTACTATCAAATGTAATGTAGCTGCAAGTGTCCTTTGGGAATGGAGACTCTGGTTCTTTGCCTTACCAGTCACAGTAGAAAGTGATCTCCATCACTGTCATGATTCTGCATCAGAAGTATTATCCTTGAGGAGATAAAAAAATAGTAATTATTAGTTAGCTTAGTGCTTATGAATTCTGGGAGGTGAAGGAAATTATGCAATATGGCTAAGCTGTTGTGGTCTAACTCCAAGGGGCAACTCAGCCCTCTGCCAGTGGAAGGGAAGGGAAAAGGGGAAGAGTAAAAACGAGAAAACACATGGGTTTTTGATAAAGACAGTTTAAAAAGTAAAGCAAATGCTACAAGTGCAAGCAATGCAAAACCAGGAATTCACTCTCCACTTTCTGTTGGAAGGTCAGTGTTCAGCTCCCCAGGATAGCAGGCTTCATCAAGCATGGTTACTTAGGAAGACGAAATTTTAAACTCATAGAATCATTCCTCTTTCCCTCTTCTTCCTTCAGCTTTTATTGCTGAGCATGATGCCATATGATAGGGTATGTCCCTTTGGTCAGTTGGGGTCAGCTGTCTCAGCTGTGTCCCCTCTCAGCTTCTTGTTCACCCTCAGCCTCCTCACTAGTGTGATGGGGTGAGGAGCAGAAAAGGTGTCAGAGCAAAAACTGAACTACAGGCTTTATTCTAACATAACAAATCATAAGTAAATAGTTGAAATATTTTTCAATGGTGATGTATATGGTGATGTATATATTTTAAATATCTTTCTCTGGAAACTGTCCATAGAGTTTCTAATTATCTAATAAACAATTATGAAAGTGTCTGAATCTCATTTCCACTGATGGTAGCAAAACGTTATTGTTTTTTACAGGTAAGATAGTCTAACAAGGCAAGGTTGTTTCCTGCCTTGGCCTAGAGATTGGGGGTGGGGGGGGGTAGGTCCTAATTTATGGCATTGGAAAGGCTGTTTTTAAGTTTAGAGTCTAATCTCAGCATTTTTCAGTAAGGAATTCTGAAAAATAAGATCTGTATCTTGTTTTTTAGGGTACCGTTGAAAGTGGAACAAGCAAACAATGCTCGTGATGCCTTGGCTAAAACCGTGTATAGTCATCTGTTTGATCATGTAGTGAAAAGGGTAAACCAGTGTTTTCCATTTGAAACTTCTTCTTTCTTCATTGGAGTTCTAGATATAGCTGGTTTTGGTAAGTATACCTCAAATAATTTCTAGTTGCCGCATTTTCCCACCAAAGATTCAATAACAAATTTTGTAATGAAGAGTGGAAGGGTTTTCTTTTTGTACTTGATGGTTCTTGTAAAGGTTTTGCTGTCTTTGACTCACTGAAAATTCAAAACAGGGCATGTTTTGTGATGTGCTCTAGTCCTGCCATGCTTGTCCAGGGGAACAGCCTTTGGTTTTCAGGTCTTTAGAATTTTGATATCTACTGCCAGCCTGTTGTAGCATGGATGCATGAGGGTGTATTGGTACAATTTCACTGTCTGGTAGCATCTTGATTTGGTTTGCTGCCAACTGTCTGTCATTTATCTTAGAAATATTATCTGCTGCAGTATTTTTAGATGGCTTGTGTACAACTTGGAAATCTGTAAAAGATTTCATTTTGCTGAAAGAAATGGCTATGGATCTGAACACATCTTTAAATATTAGCATTGCGAAGCTTCTCTTATTTACTATTTAAGTTACATTCTTGGAACACTGTTTTATCTTAAAAGTTTAACTTCTGTCTTTCAGAGTACTTTGAACACAACAGTTTTGAACAATTCTGTATAAACTACTGTAATGAAAAACTGCAGCAATTTTTTAATGAAAGAATTCTGAAAGAGGTATGATATATTTAATGTTATATTTGAGGATTTGTTTTTTTACTGTTCTATTTGAGGAATTGTTTTTCCTGAAATGATGCTTTAAGAAGCACTGCTTTTCATAAGATTATACATTGTGTTTGAAAAAAAAAATCAGTTGATATACTATTTCCATATTATGTGACATCTTGTTGTGTCAGAAAAGAATGTGGATTTTTGAAAACCAGCAATGAGGTATTCAGAGATTGGATAATACCTGATTCACTAATACCTGATGAAAATATTGAATTGAACAGGCTTATCATTACGGTGTTAAAGTTGGAAAATATTTAGCTGTGTAAGGAAATTCTCAAATGTGTGTTGATTCATGCTATATTTTTTTTAAATTGCTTCATGTTTATTAGAAAAAATAATTTTTTTTCTTGTTTTTTTTTCAGTTAAAAAAAAATTAAGTGTGGTGTTTTCTCTTTTCAATTACTTTTTTTTATTTTTTTTGCAATTTCAGGAGCAAGAACTTTACCAGAAAGAAGGCCTGGGTGTTAATGAAGTTCGTTATGTAGATAATCAGGACTGTATAGGTATGTACTTCTTGAATTGTCAAGCTTTTTGTTACTGTCATGTGGAAAAAAGCTTCAAGCAGAAGAGGTGAAATATGCATGGCACTAGTAATTATATGGTTTTATATATAGCCTCATTCAATTCACAATTGTAAGAGTTCATAGGCATTTCTGCAGTACAAGCATTAGCAATTTCATCCTTTCCACAGGAAAAAGTTTGTAGTAAAAATTCCTCTTAAAAGAGCAGTTTCATAGAGAATGGAAAAAAAGTTGCAAAACTGTGAGTTTGTGTCTAATAGTTTCAAGAATATGAATTTCTGTGTCAGCTTTCAAAGGCTTTGGAGTATGTGTGTGAGAGGTCAAGGCAATTCAGTTGTTAAAAGTTGTGAAACCACCACTGTATGCTCAATTCTGGTCTGCCTTTCCTAAAACAAATTTTTACTTCTCACTGGATCATGTTATCAAATGGAAATATTAACCTTTTAGTTTTGACGTGTGGTGAAATGTGGATGAAAAGCTTAAAAATCTCCCCCAGCAATTGAAGCTAGACCTAGGATCATACTGTAAGAAGACTTAGGCACTTTTTGGATGACTAATTTCAGCTTGAGACTAAGAGTTAGAATTAGACAATCGGTTCCTGATTTTTTCCCCCATGTTCCAGAAGAGTTAGAACTTCTAGATTTGATGGATATCCTATACATTCCTATTAACATACATAGAATTGATTTGCAATGACTTCTTGTATTTTATTTAATGGCTTTCCATAGGTACTTTTGTAGAGAATCAGTCAGCATTTAGGTGTGTAATGTTCAGTGGTGATACAAGTTGATATATTCAATTTCCATAAATATATGGGGTTTTTTATCAACAGATTTGATTGAAGCAAAATTAATAGGTGTACTGGATATTTTGGATGAAGAAAATCGTCTTCCCCAACCAAGTGACCAGCATTTTACTTCAGTTGTGCATCAAAAACACAAGGACCATTTCAGGCTCTCAGTAGGTTTATTTTTGTTGTCTGTCTTGTTTTAATGAAACAGTTCTTGGAACAGTTGATAGTAACACTTCAATTTAATGAAAATCTTTCATAAGAAATCTCATACCACCCAGTCTGCACAGTCTGTACTTCTTTTTTAAAGACAAGTTTGGTTATTAGATTTGATGAAAAGTTCATTGAAGGCTTCAAGCAATTCTAATATCCTGCTGAAAATAAAGCCATATTCTTGACTTGCATTTGAAGTTTTTTAACATGTAAAACATCAAAAAGAAGTAAAAACACATTTTAATTTAGGTTTGTTTCATATCAATGAGTTATTTTGTTGTTATTTTAAAAAATTTCTTGCTTTGGAAAGCATTTGACTCATGTCTAGTGTCTAGCTAGCACTTCAGAGAGGAATATAGGAATCATACTAGGAAAATTTTTTTTGTTGCTTATTTTTTAACATGTAGCACTGTCTGGAAGATTAAGGCAAATTGTTGCAATTTATATCCATGAATTGTGTTGAAATAAGAAAAACTGCTGAAAAAATGTGAGCAAAGGAAGCCATCATTTATATAATCCATTTACCAAAATTGTCATCCATTTACCTTGTGTTAAGTTTCCACTTAGTCCTGCTTGCCTCAGTTGGTGTGCAATGAAACATTCTGATGGTATGTGTATGATCAGCTGGGTGCTTGCCTCTAAAGATATACCGTTTAAAGCCATATCTTGAGCTTCCATCTAATCCTATTCATATAACAGGGTTATTCATCAGCTGTCAAATTCATGATAAAGAAAATGTTGATTAAAGGCAAAACCGAAATCAACTGGCTGGTATTAGCAATCCTGGTGACTTGTATTTTGAATGCAATGTATTTAAGAGTGTGGAAGAGTTTGAAATTAGGTTTTTAGAACATCATGGTTTGGACAGGAATGGTAATGAACAGCACAATTGTATTGACAGGAAATGTGATTTTTAACACTTAGTAGTCCTGGCAGATCAAGATGGTGTTCTAAGAATAAACTTTTTTTAGTTTCCATTGCAATTCTTCTTTGTAATTCATTTTCTTAATTCCAGATTCCTAGAAAGTCTAAATTGGCTGTTCACAGAAATATCAGAGATGATGAAGGCTTCATTATCAGACACTTTGCAGGAGCCGTATGCTACGAGACGGTAATTTTGTCTATGGAACACTATGTTTATTGTGTTTTATAGAACATTTATATTTTTTCAGTGCATATAGCTTAAATGACAAAATTTCTTGTGATCAGAAGTTCAAACATTGGTATGCCTTAAGTTTGAAACTAATTTTCTGCGTATTTCACAGAATTGACAGTTTCTTTTAACTTTTCAGGATACAGCCTCAGCCCATTTTAATGACATGTGTTTTGTGTAAAAGTTTCATATCTATAGGTAATGGTGTCAGTATTGAATATATTGATTCGCAACCTGCATTCAATACTGCAAATTTTGTGTCAAAAGATATTTACATCCTGGGGAGAAGAATAAACTATGTGATATAAAAGTATTGTTAGTGAATGTATTCTTGCTGATTTTTGAATTAAGTATGTAACTATGTTTCCTTTAGTTTTCTAATTACACTGAAGTAACTTGGACAGTAAAACAAATGTGCTTTTATCTCTTGGGTTGTCTTTTCAGATGCAATTTGTGGAAAAAAACAATGATGCTTTGCACATGTCTCTTCAATCTCTTATATGTGAATCCAAGGACAAGTTTGTTCGACAGTTGTTTGAGGCCAACACTAACAACAACAAGGATCCCAAACAAAAAGCTGGGAAACTCAGTTTCATCAGCGTGGGTAACAAATTCAAGGTAAAATCATATAGTAAAGAGTCCTAATTTCTTATAATATATGCCAGTTTTATGTTACTTGAATTGATGGAACCTAAGGTTGGGAGAACTAGCAGTAACTTGAGATTCAGAAGAAAATTTGGTTAAATAGATGGTTTTCTTCTGTTGAGTGATAAGAAACATTGTAAGATACATGTTATGCTTTTCTGTCAAAAGTATCTTCCATAGCAGACCTTACAGAGATTATACATTGATTTTGGGGTCAGAATCTTTCAAAGTCACATAGAAGTCTTTATTCGAAAGGTTTTGAGATTTAAATTGGGATTCCGTGGTCTTGAAAATGTTCTAGATGTGACAAAATCTGTTCTTCCATCCTATTGTAATTATACCTTCTAGGAGATGTACTGATTCCCTACAGAGAGTTGGCCAAACTCTCAAAATTCAGTACCTAACCTAACCTTAGTTTTTCCTTTTCTGAAATATATACTTAATCATGGCTTACACAGGAAGATATTCATTGTGCTGAATGTTTCCTTTCTCAATACCTGAATCTGATGCTTCTCCTCATTTTCTCCTTTCTTCTGATGTTATAAAGCTGACCTTCAAACCTTGTCTTCTCCAAATGTTTTCTGCATCCTTTTCTCATACAGCAGTTTTATTTTAGCTGGACTATTCCAGCTCAGGATGGCTAGAAAGAGAACAATAGGGGCATTAAGAGATGAAAAGCAGGCACATCGTGGGCTGCAGGTAAATTTTTCAGTCTCATGGATTTACAGTTGGTAGAGCTGCAGCAATTTCAGCAAGAGCTCTTTTCAACACATCTGGGCCAGATCCAATGAAGGATTTGTATGCCTTCAAGTCAAGTGCTGAAACAGTTTTGGTGTACTGTCTTACCTAGGGCCACCAAAAACCCACCTCATATTCCTAGCTAGACTCCTTACACAGTCCCTGGGGAATGCAAGTATGTTAGATAATCCAATAAACCTGCACATAGAGTGAGACACTGCCAGTAGCAGAAGAGGGTTTCTGTATTTCTGCTCCATATCAAGGTTAAGTACTGGATCAGGACTGCAGGATAAATTCCTTCTTGCATAATCATATTTTGTGGCTAGCATTTGGAACTGTTCTCTAAAGATGAAGGAGCTGAAGGAACAGGAAGTATATGGTAGCAGCACTCTTGCTTTTTATAGCAATAGTATTCTGCTTCAAGTCTATACTGTATTCAGTGTTCTGTGGCTGTTTTATTTCCTGAGCACCCAGATATTGGTCAGTCTGACTAATGGTGTTCTCATTACACCCTTCTGGAGTTGTTTGGTTAGGTAGCCAGAAATAAAATTTTTATGGGGCCAGGAAGAGTAGAATACAGAGCCTGACTTGTAAGGTAGTGGTTTTGGCATTTAGCTTGGAACTGGGCAGACTGCTCTCTTGAGTTTTACTGTGATGATTCTTTTTAACTGCTTCCTGTTCTCTAGCGGTTGTTGAATTAAAGTGCAGCAATTGGTTTAATATAAAATACATGATCGTCTGGTAGTCTGAAAAGTTGCATACAGATAAGCTGTGTCCTGAGCATGCCTGAGCATGCCCTGCAGCCATGAGTATGCTGTAAATGAAGCTAGGATCCATGATTTTTTAAAACTGTATTTTTAAAATGAAATCAACTGGGGGATCTTTTGAGACAATTTCCTCTTCCTTCCATCTGTATTTTCAATTTCTCTCAGGTTTGGCACCCCACCTTCAGGTGATGTGGTCTTGTGCATTATACCACTGCCCACAGAGGGGTGAATTAAAAGGGAGGCATTTTTAAAGTGAAGCAGAAGCTTAGTGGGGAACACTTTTGGATTTCCTTTTGGAACTTTGGTATTCACCTCTCCACCTAAAACACAACTAATGTCCTCTTTGGATCTGGCCCTTCAATTCTTTCAATGTTTTCAAGTTTCATGGCATTTTGAATGTATGTGTTACTTCCAATAATTCATTTAGTGTTACCTTCCCAGACACAGCATGTGATGCTGATGAACACTAATAGCCTTGAAAATTTCACTTCAGATGACATCAAAATAAGGTCTTTTATCTTACTAGATATTTCATCTCTTTAAGAATAGGAATTCTTAGTGCATTAATTTGTAAGTCAGTCTTCTGAACTATTGAAATCATAACTTCTTCTAATTATATAAATTATTAGATGATGTTGCAGGGACTTCTCTTTATTAAATCCTTCACACGTCCCTTCCTTATAACTAATTAAAATTAATTCTCATTAATCAGTTGAGAAAATAATGATTAATTTATCATCGGATCTGTTCAAGGTTTGATGATGAATTAAATTGTGACAATTCAAAGAGCAGTAGCTTTAGCAATATGCTTTACTTGTATACACATTTTGTTGGAGAAATTCACCTGAGAATGTCTCTGGCTTATTTCTTGTCAAATCACAGAGTATAAGGACGGGGTATTTTTCCTCAAGCAAAAGTGTATTTTGTTGATGGAAATGAGCCTGTCTCTTGCAAACTTATGTGTCTCTGACTTAAGAAAACATAATTATTATAATCAAGGTGAGATATAAAGAGTGTGTGTAAGTCAGAACTGAGCAAGAGGTTATTAGTGTTTGTCATGCTTCTTGTGGCACTCTTCCTAACCATATCCATGTTAAGTTAAAAAAATCCCAAACCAATTTTATCTACCAGAGGGACAACTGGCAGCTGTAGGTGATGCACACTACCCATGCAAATCTTGTTTCTTGGATTCAAGGTAATTGAAAGATCTGGCTAAAAAAAATATAGTCAAAAGTCAGATTCTTTGAATTTTGCTTCTAGTGCTGAACATGAATATGTTAGGACATACTGAATTTTGTATTGCTGCAGTCTATATACTTAAAATTTCTAATAAATTAGAAAGGCTGGCCCAGCAGTAATTCATCTGGCAAAACAGGCACACCTCTAAAGTAAAAATATTGGTATTTTTCTGATGTGTTTTTGTAATATTTTAAGTCCCTACCAATTACTTTCAATAGCAACTATAAACTGTTTTCTCTGATAGCTTTAAGTCTCTTGTTATTCTGAAGACTTGATTCCAAATAATAGTAGTATTGAAGTCTTTTCTAATCACAGTATATTTAAATGCAACTTCAGCAAATGTAATTTTAAAATTGTAGTTTTTTGTCATCAATAGAGAATTAAAAAGTTGGAAATTTGGAAATAAAAATGGATTGTTGCAGGTAAATATTGACATAACTTAAAACCCAGAAGAAAAGCCTGGGAATATATTTTGTGTTAATTATGTAACACAAAAATAATGCTTGTTATGGATTAAATTTGGGATTTCAAAAATTTTCAGTGTGTTTTTAAAAAATGATTGCTGATTGGTCTAATTTTTTTAATATAATTTTATTACATAGTCATTATTTTTTATTTTCCCAAATGGACATGCATGTTTTTTTTTTTTGATAACTGTGTTGTAATAAGTGACTAGTCCATGTAGTATTGTTTTACAATTAAATACAAGCAATTTCCTCAGGGCCATTCATGCACACTTGCCTGATTTTGTCTATTAAAATTGGTGAATGTTTGGTTTATCAGTTCTGTCTCACTAACAATGAACATGCATGCAGTAATGCTGTACCTCTGTTTGGTGTGTATTTTTCTGTATATGCCATGGTAAGGCTCTTGAAGTACCTGTTTTCTTTTACAGACTCAGCTAAATTTGCTCCTTGAGAAGCTTCACAGTACTGTAAGTATATATACAGGTGAAGGTTCACAGTTTTCTGACGTAAGGCAAAATAGATAATCTCAATATTAGGGCTTACAGTAAATGTGATTAGTAATTGCTTTAGAGTTTGCAGCTCCATGGCACTTTGGGAACATCTTCCTGTGCATGTAATGGTTATTTATTTACTGGACAAAGGAAAACCCACCACCTTCAAAAAGGTTGTAGAATGAAAGTTAAAAAATCTGTGAATGTGAAATCTGTCTGTGCTGCAATCTCCTTTTTTTGTCACTTTTACTACTTTCTGTGCATTGGTTATCATTGATAACTAATTTCCAGAAAATTTAGAAATGTTTCTTAGAAGTAAGGTATTTAAGAAGTAATTTATTATTAATTATTGTTTTAATGTTCCATAAAGTCATTCAAAATTTATTTTTTCATTTTGCTTTTTTTGATAGGCTGTAAATGCATAGGTGGTCAAAGAAACTAAGTCCCCTAATGAATATTTGTTAATTTGGCTGATGTAATTAGATAGTTTGTGAAATTCTCCATGTACAACATGCCATTTTATTTTAGAATTTGGAGTTGTAGGAACACAGTGTTGTTTCTCTTGACCACATGTTCTAACACATTACGGATATTAGGTTATGCTCTGTCAAAAAAAAAGAGTAGAAAATCAAGGGAAAAAAAGCAGTGAGGTGCTTGGAGTATAGCCAGCATATAAGATTTTACTGTAGTCACAAGGCCGGTCTGAAGGGTGATCTATTTTACCCAGCACATTCTGGAACTGAAATACAGTCCAGGGAAAAAAAGTATGTGGCCAGGCTTGCTGTACTCTTGAGTTTAGCTAACCCATGATTGAGGAGATACTGTTAATGTAGAGCTCCCTTCCAGCTCCCTTCCTTTCCAGCTGAGAGATGGAAAAAGAGAGAATATTCTACAAACTGGGATTAATACTACATTTTCTCAGTCCCAATTTTGTTTTAGTATATTCAAAATTATCATTTGTAGTCACCTGTTACAGGAAAATCTGAATAATTGGATGGTGCTTGGCAAAATGTTATCCTTGATGAATGTGAAATGATCAGAGAGAGCAGTGGTCAAAACCATACCTCACATGGTCATAACAGAGGAGCAGACTGGAACAACATCAGGGAAGGGAGACTGAAGCTGTGAGCCAAAAGAAGTTGTAAAAAGTAAAAGTTAAGGAAGGTCAGGTTCATCTGGCATGATTCTGATGTCAGGAATCTGGTAGCCTGTTTGCTGATGTGTACTCTGGGGCATTTTAGTGTTGTGACTGTGGAAGATATTGAGGGTAGTAGGATCTAGAGTCATAAATCATAGATTGTATACATGTTAAGGAGAATAGTTGAGTAAAAATTCAACAGAATTGAGGATCCAATTAATAGCTTGAGCATGGAAATTAGTTACATCAAGATCAAGGTTACAGTGCAAAACTGATATATGACAGAAAAAGAATGGGGCTTGGACTTGATTATCTTTAAGGCCCATTCCAACCCCTTAACATTCTATGATTTTATGATATCGTCAGCATTTCTCTTTTACAATACTATTGTTTTGTATCTTTTTCTTCTCCCCACCCATAAGTCTTAAATCATAAACTGTTATTTTATAAATTTTAAAAATCTGTGTTTTTGCTAACTTCTTGCTTTGGTCATAGGGGTCGAGCTTTATTCGCTGTATCAAACCTAATCTAAAGATGACAAGTCACCACTTTGAAGGAGGACAGATCCTCTCTCAGCTTCAGTGTTCAGGTAATGTCAGTGTTCTGGTATTCTTCCCTTTGATTTTTACTGTGGTGATTACATATTACCCTAAGTTTGAAATATGTGGGATGAAAGCAGTGTTTCTTTGCTGTTTTCTAGAAGGTAGGTTATTTATGCCTTATAAACAGCTATTTAGATTTTTAGTAATGTAGCATTTATTTTAGAAGTAATTCATCTTAGGTGTTAGGACTCTTCTTGCAAAGAAGAGTTGCTCACAGTATTAATAGGGCACCAGTTCAGACTGGAACAATAGAGTTTTAAATTTCTGTGGCAGTTGAAGTGTTAGAAACTCCTGTGTGCATTTAGAGGCAGTCAGTGTTAGCTGAGATATCTAATAATTCAAGCACACCAGTGTTCTTTTATTTTATAGATACTATGATCGAGTTTAATTATACAGGTTTACTTTCTCAAAAGTTTCTTTTTATCCCTATTAATTTGATTTGGAGCTGAACATCTAACATGGATGAAATGCTGCATCTTTGTTATTCTTGAAATGCTATATGCTTTCCAAATTTACAGCTTTATTTGCTCATGCCCCACTCATCTTTTTGAAAAACAAAGACAGTATAAACAAATTAAATTTCTATTGAAAGCAAGTATGCAGAAGATTGAGTTTTGCAGCAGCAACCACACGTTAAAGTCCAACTTGAAAACTTACCTGCAGCCTCTGTGGATAGGGTTGTGTAAAGTCGTGGGTAAAAACTGGTATGGCCTGTGCTGCTGAAGTAATTTGAATCTTACTGACAGTGTCTGGGCTTTACTGATGTCCTTGTTGCAGCCAAAATGTAGTAACATTATTCAGGACATTGGAGTTACATCTTAGCAGCTGATACTTTGTATTTCAAGTGTACTAAATGTTCTAGCACGGCTTATGTATTTGAGGTTGTATCTGCCCCACATCTCACAAATACCATTCACATGATAAAAATAAAAGCCTGGGCATTATTTGGTGTTTGTGTATGGAGTTCGGTTTTTTTTTCCTTCCCTTTAAAAATGAAAATGTCAAATCTACTGAAAAAGAAAAAAGGTTTTAGAAGAAATATTAGAAGAAAAATCCTATGGATGATTGAGTGTTACTTAGCCCTCAAATAGGGAGAAAACTTTATGTGCTTTTCTTATGTGTTCAGTATTAACTTTTTGTGACTGATCACATAATCAAAAAGTGCTACAGGCTTGATCAAATCCCAGCTGAACTTTGTGCTTTAGTCTCTGAACAATGTCTCTAAGACATTTGTTGTTATATCTTTATGATATAAAACCCATGTTGTCTTATATCATAAACCTATTGGTTATCATAAAATTCACTGCTTAATTTGCATATTACTGATCCCAGCTTTTGTGTATGTGTCTCTGAATTTAGGGATGGTGTCAGTTCTGGATTTGATGCAAGGTGGTTTCCCATCACGAGCTTCATTTCATGAACTATACAATATGTACAAGAAATACTTGCCTGAAAAATTGGCTCGACTGGACCCTAGGCTTTTTTGCAAAGTAAGAAAATAATTCTTGTGTATTGTCCAGTAGAGAAAATATATTGTGATGTTCACTTTTGTGTTTATTTGAAGGAGGCAGAATATAATCCTTTATGTTTTCTGTGTTTCAGGCCCTATTTAAAGCCCTGGGACTGAATGAAAATGATTACAAATTCGGACTAACCAAGGTGTTTTTTAGGCCCGGCAAGGTAATCTTTTTCTTGGAGTTCATGATTATGATTCTTAGAATAATTTCAGTTAGAAAGGACATTTGAAAGTGACATTGTTTAACACATTGACAAAAGTGCGGCCAACCTAAATAAGGTTGCCCAGGATTTGTATAAATAATTTTGTTCCTTTTCTTTGAATAAACCACAAAATTTGTACGGATACAATTGGGTTTATAATCTTGTTGCTGATGCTACAGTATTTCTAATGCAATGTTTGTTTTCCAAGAATTATGTTGACTATTAAAAAGAGGAAGTCACAGCCAAGAAGTATTTTCTAGTAAAATCTGTTTATAACTGAAATCTCTTCCTGTGATTCTGAGCATTGCTGCTTCTATTCAGAGTAAGGAGATGAAGTTGAGAGCTGTTATGATGAGAAAGGAAAATTATTGTAATCCCAGAAGAATGCTCTTCCTCTCCTATAATTACTGAAAAGCAAGTGCAGGATTTTCAGAAAATCTTGCCTGCAATGGGAAGCTTATACAAAGGTTAAAAATTGAGAAGTGCTTTCAGCTTTTATTTTTTTCCACAGATATATAATTAGATTACATCTACTTATATTGAAGTTGTGAAACGCCAGAGTTCATTTCCAGGATGTAGAGAAACAATTGATTTTTAAAAATTTTGACAATAAATATTTTTGGTGATTAGTAAATGGTTATATTATTCAAAAGGCCAAGTGTTGGACATCCACAAAACAAACATATAAAAAATCTGCACTTGTAATTTCTCTTTTCATTAAACAATAAAGTGTAATAAAATTTATCTGCTGACTTTAGTTGAAAGCTGATATAATAACATACAGTTTATGTTAAAAATTTTAATTCAGCATGATCTCAAATAATAATTTCTAACACTCTCTGTCCTCATAATAAGTAAAACTTGTTTTAATTATCATTTAGTTTGCAGAGTTTGATCAGATAATGAAGTCTGATCCGGATCACTTAGCAGAGCTGGTTAAACGAGTGAATCGCTGGCTTATCTGCAGTCGTTGGAAAAAAGTTCAATGGTGTTCTCTCTCGGTGATTAAATGTATGTGTTTTGTGTTTTATTAACTCAAAATGTTTGTTAAAATACAGCAAAGCAATTCTTAGCACCTTGAAACGTGGCCGAGGACATGTATAGCAGATGGTTACAACTGAAGTCTGAGTAATTGATTTTAAGATTGTTGGGATTTTTCTTGAAGTTTACTGTGCAGAGTAGGAATAAGGTGGCATGGAAGAGAGATTGGCACTTGTGGTGTGCTTCAGAAAAGCTGTCTGGGATATGGGGAAGTGTCTGATGCAGAATGTCTGCAATCTCTAATAACAATGGAGGGTGAAAACTGCATTAGAATGGGGAAGAAAAGCATAAAGGCCTTATGCCACATGGCTGTGCATTTGGGCCAGCACAGTCTGTTGCTGATTGATTATTATTTGTTGCTTTTTATAGTGAAGCAAATAGAATTTCTGGATTCTTATGAGATTTCAAGCATCAGAGATTGTAACACTAAAATCTTGGTTTTGACCTAGACATTTATGTTATTTAGTCTATTTTTTTCAGAAAGACAGGACAGAAAGTATGTCACCATGTGTAAAAAATAGAAACACAGGGAAATAATATGGATTATTATTTCTTTGTGGTATTTTATGGGAACTTTAAACCTAATTTTATTCCTGGTACAAAGTTGAAACATATAAACAAGAAGTAGAGTACATCTTTGTGACCACCTAAGTCCAATAAATGAACATTAAATATCACTGTGTTTACAAACCGTGTCTTAAAGGCAGTCTGGATGCACAGGCATCTACATTTTCTCTAGTAAATCTGTAAAAACTCATTTATGGTTGCACTTATAAAATACTCAGCACACATGCATGTGCCAATGCCTTGATTCTGTTTAACTTGCCTCCTGGTCTCAATCATTTAGTTAGAGTCTTTAGATGAAGACTGTATTAGAACAAAAGCTAGAGCTTTTGTTCTGTGGGTTTTTTTTTCATTCCAGTATTGCACAGAAATGCTCAGTGTGTTGCAGCCACTTTATTATCTCTAGCAGATACTGGATTACTCTTCAACACAGGACTAAGACTTCAAGCTGAGTGTTTCCTGCTTGCTAGAGCCTGTGACTTTTAACAAAATTTACTGGTATCTGTGAATCTGGAGGGGTGTGTGAGTGTGCACACGTTTCATTGTTCCTGTTGGATTTGGGTGGGAAGCTGTTTCTTCAATGTTGTGGTTCCAATATAGAAAAAGCTCTCAAGCACACATAGTCTGCATACAGTTGTGAGACATCAAATGTGTAAGGAAGATAGAAGTTGTATTAAACTGTATAAAACATTAAGATTCTATCTTCTGTGTGCTTACAGTGAAAAATAAGATAAAATATCGAGCCAGTGCCTGCATTAAAATACAAAAGACTATTCGTATGTGGCTTTGCAAGAGAAAGCACAAACCACGGTAAGAAGATATTCCTTGTTTGAAGAAAATATGTTTTAAATTATATTTTCTAGTGACTGTAAGAAGAGGTTTACTTTATTTAACTAAATCTGTCCGAAGGCATAGAATGATGCAAAGTACAATTGAAGGAGACTGAGGAGTTCTGTGTTCCTTCACTCTTTCCCAAGGATGAATAGACTAAATCTGAGCCTTTTCTACAGATGTTTCTTTAGCTCTTTGTTCATGAAATCCTTCAGTGACAACCTTGTTTTTAGAAATTTTTTATTAAGTCTGTCTAATTTAATTTAAGCTCATTAATTGTTGTCCTTTACCCATTCACACCTTCCTTTATAGGCTCCATTTCATTTTTTCTTAGAATTAATAAATGTCTTGTCTCCTCTTGAAATTAATTCCATTATCTGATTGGAGAGAACACTGATGGAAAAACTACTTCAATAATTAAGCTCTGGTGACACCTTAATGTTCTTTGACAGAGATGCAACTCTGTTGTTGTTGTTGGCTTCTGATAAGTTCTTTTACATCCTTTGAAAGTTATGTTTCATTTTGAATCTTGGCATTTCTGACATTTTTAAAATTTTTGAGCTAGTTGGTGCTCATCTTTAATGATTTGATTTAATTTCTACTTTTGTGTGTTGATTTACAAATCCCAGTACAGTGATTTCTGTTTAGGAGATGGTCTTCAGAGTTGTAACTTCTGTGTGGGACCTTCAATAGTGGTTCTTAAAAAAAAACTCTTGATTTTTCCTGAACTCTTCCCCAGCCTTGTTTTCTCACTCCTTTGGAGTGTAATGACTGTTCATTCTGGGGTGTAATGCTGTGTAGTTGAGTTTTATCTGATTCATTCCATTATGGCTCTTTGAATAAGTAGCACTACTCAGCCTTTATCCCTTCCAGTTAAAATCCTCTACTGGATACTAATGATTTATTATTGTGGAAGCAAACAAAACAACCCAAATTAATTCTCAAAATAATAATACATTTTTCCATTTTGAGTCACTGTTTGCTAAGTAATTTTACTTACTGCTTGGAAAAGGCTCCATTGCTTAGTTACTTGATGTGATAATGTTTGAATTTCAAAAAAGAGGGTGAGTTTTGTCAGAAGGCATAACGTCTCTCCCTGTCTATTTTTTTTACATGAGTGACTAGTGGAGTTTTAAAATACCACCCTCCAAAAATTTCAATTAAGCAAATAAGCTGTCTTACCTTCACAGCATTGATGGCCTGATAAAAGTACGTACACTGAAGAAGAGACTTGATAAATTTAATGAAGTAGTAAGTGCTCTGAAGGAGGGGAAAGCAGAGACAAGCAAGCAGGTCAAGGAGTTGGAGGATTCTATTGATGCTTCAATGACCAAAATTAAGGTATGTGATAATAATGAGAGAAATTGCATCTTGGTATTGGAATATTTTAAAAGCTTCATTTAAAGGAGAAGGCCAATGCATTTTTCTTAATAGAAAATATACTTCAATATAGTGGTCTTAATTTTCAGTCATTGGGTAATTCCTGTTTAAAATTATTTGTAAATATGACTGAAGTGAATCCTGAAAATAGGTGCACATTTCTAGACTTTGGTATCTCCATGTCAAAATTGGCACTGAAGGTTTTAAAGAAAAAATGCATGTTGATAATATGAGACAAGTGTTTCAATAATTTGTTTGTTGCTTTCATTATTGGAATACCAATTACCATTATTACCATTATCAGAATACCAATTAACATTACCAATATTTTAACTTAATAAGGACTGAAACAAGGCATTTATCACACAATAAAGACATTTATTATGGTGTAAAGACATTTGCAGTTATGAGGTTTTTCAGACTTGGTAGTAAAAGAATTCAGCTTGCTGATTATGTTTCATGTCTGTAGTCCTCTCTTTCACTTGTGTTTTTACCACAGAAGCACAAAGACAAAATGAAAGCACACTGGCATTTATTAATGTTAGAAAAAATTTAGTTTCTTGAATTCCTGTTTCATGCAATAATCTAGCTTCCTGAGTGTACCATATTAAGACTTCTCTATTTAAAATCACTGTTGAAAAGATGGTAGAGTTAACCTGTCAACTTAGGGTTCTCTTTTCTAATAAAAATGATATAATTTGATTATCATCATGATACACTATCAGAAAAGGTCAGCACACCCACCATATTGCAGTTTATTAGTAAGATGTGAATTGTAAAATGAAATCAAATTGTACCTGTCAATAAGGTTTGAAAACGTGTCTAGCAAAGGCTATTTCTGAAGCATTTTTAACCTCTAATTTGTTACTAATAACATTTTAGAAAAAGTGAGTCACAACACAGTGCAGTATTTCTTCTGAGTGCTGGCAGAAATATTAAGAAACACTATTTTGTGCTATGACATAAAAGCAGAGCTGTAAATAACCACTAAAGAAGATAAGAATACAATTCAAAATACACATGGGAAGGCCTTAATTTCCATCCTAGCATGTTAAGAATTAATTTCTGTTGCTTAAAATGGCAAGATTTAAAATATGAAGATATGTTTTGAAAATAAATTAATTTCAGTAATAATATGGAGATGACTTTGTATGGTTTTATAGGAGAGGGGAGAGGAATGAGTCCTCAGGATTTTAGAAAGAAAGGGAAGAATGGACTTAAGCTTCCCAGCCCTGAGGTGTATATATGATTTATGTATAGTGCTCAGTGATCTCATTTCACTTAATTTTTTTTTAGTATATGCTTCAAAAGTGAAGTACAAATAAAAAAGAATTTCCCCCTTATTATTTTTGCAGACCACTATAATGACTAGAGAACAGATACAGATAGAATATGATGCTTTAGTTAAAAGCTCAGAGCAGCTTCTGAATGCACTGCAAAAGAAGAAGCAGCAAGAAGATGAAGCAGAGAGGCTACGACGCATCCAGGAGGAAATGGAAAAAGAAAGAAGGAGACGTGAAGAGGAAGACCAAAAACGAAGGAAGGAAGAACAGGAAAGACGCCTGTGAGTCTTGAATTTGAATAAGTTACAGAATGAGAAGAGAACAGAAATGGCTCTTTAATGAAGTCCTTTTTGATATACTCTCACTTAGAGAGTCACTTGGGTTGTATTCCGGGTGTTCTCTGCAGTGTTGAAGCATTTCCTTTCCCAGTGATTTATAAGGCAAGTGTCAGAAGAGCATATGGAAAAAAGGATGCAGCTGGAAATACAGATGAACTTGAAAAATTTCATTACTTACATGTAGTATCCTGTCATCAGGACTGTACTGATTTGTGGATTACCATTCAGTTTTATGAAAGAGTCTTTGTGTTTCTTACAAATATTAAAGGTATTTATTTCTTGTTCACTTGTGTCATAATAACACATTTTCATTTCCTTCTCCTCTTATGTAATAGGAAATCTGAGATTGAGGCAAAGAGAAAACAGGAAGAGGAAGAGAGAAAAAAGAGGGAAGAGGAAGAAAAGCGTATTCAGGTTAATGATTTAGCTGTGTGTGGCTTTGGGGCATTTCTTGTTGTTGTGGTGGTTTTGGGGTTGTGTGTTTGTTTTCTTGTATTCATGTATTATTTATAAATGTTTTTTGTAGCTTATGTTCTCCACTGAGTCTAATGGCTTCTTTCTATAAATGCATTTCTCAGAGTCATTCACCAGTGTTGCTTTATTAGGAAATATAAGGCAAATGTCATGTTTAGGGCATCCCAAGATGGATCACCTATTTCTAGTTCCCATGCAACTTCAGGTATTCTGAGTGGAGGTGCATCTTTTTTTAAAGGGTTTTAAAATTTATTTAAAAAATATGCAACATTGGAGAATCCTAGTTTAGCCTTTGAAGGTTTTCTGCATGATCCATGTCAGGCAAGTTTGGTATTTTTTTACTAAATTCATATCTCGACTTGGTCTGTGTTGTTTACTTGCTTAAGTGCAAACACTTACAGAACATTGGTAATAATGAGAGGATGCAGGACTGTCCTTGGTAGCTCCTTTGGCAACATTCATGTACACTAAATACATGCAGCTCGAACGCCACTCCTCCACCTTGATTTATGGCAATTCTTACTGATTTCATAATGAGCTCTCCTTCTGAGAGTTTGGCCCCTATATCCCTCTTTTCCTTTTTTGCTGGAGATTGCTTGGGTGACCTGGAATAGCACTCTTATGAGAAAAAGAACATTTATAATGATTGTCTTTATCAATGTTTCTTGTCTTTTGGTTTCTGAGCTGTGGATATCTGCAATGCAGAATGTGATTTATGTTTTTACTTTAAAATGCTGTGTTTGGATCCAAGAGGATACATAATCCTGTAGGGTGCTTCATTCTCCCACATACAGTTAATTTCTCATTGTCTTTCCTCCTGGTAGTTTGTTTTATCAGCTAATCTAAGATGAGATTTATAGGGTAAAGTCACTGGTGTCACTGTACTGTTTTTAGTGTTTTAGTGGTGCAACTTCACAATGATGAGTGGGGGGCAGCTTTGTTTCCTTTGTTAATTCTTGGGCATGCTAAAACTTGGTGCATGTGCCTTTTGAAGGTATGAATTGGATGGTCCTGTTTTATTTACTGTGTGTGCAAGGCTTTTTGTGGAGTAATGATGGTAAACTGCTGCTGCTGTTTGGCTCTGCTGAGGCAGTATATTTGAATTGCTCCTGCACTGCACTAAGTTGGAAGTTTTACCATTTGCTTAAATTCAAAGTTAGATCAGTTCCATAGAGAATACCAGTGTCTGTCTTAATGCCTTTTCAAAATGAATTACAGACCTGTATCCAAAGTGCTGCCTATTGCAAAGTCCTGTGATGCCAAGAGCAGAATATCAAGGAAGTATTGTGTTAGTGCTATGGAGGAGTAGCCATAGTCTCTGTTTCATTTGAGTTTTAATAAACTGAACACTAATTTTTATAATACAGAACAAAATACTTCATATATTTAAAAAAAAGAAATAATAACTACTTGTCACTTTATAAAAAAAGGTAATATAAGTGGTACACAATATTTGATAAACTATATGAAAACCAATATTCAGTTTGTAAGTGCTTCATTTTTCTTGGGTTAAACTAAATACTAATGCTGTTAATTTTTCAGTTCTGTAAACTTGTACATGTTTTCAAAAGCTAATATACAACATAGCATTTTTTTTCTAATATTGCTTATGTAGCATTTTGGTTTTTATTGGGCAAGGCTAACGGTGTCTTATTCTAAAACAGGCTGAAATTGAGGCTCAGCTAGCTAGAGAACGAGAGGAGGAAACCCAGCACCAGGCAGTGCTTGAACAGGAGCGTCGTGACCATGAGCTTGCAATGAGAATTGCCCAGAGCGAGGCAGAACTCATCAGTGATGAAGCTCAGCTCGATTTAGGTTTGCGCAGGTATGGAGTTAAGGAGTTACGTTTTCTTCTCTGTAGGTTTTTTCTCCATATCCTGATCCCTTTGAGAAGACTGCTGTTGTTGGGTTTATGGAACTTCGTGTTCATGAAATGAAGCTTCTAAGTCAGTGTGTTAGAATGTTTTTCAAATTAAATTTTGAAATTTGTTAGAAGTAGATTGCTTTTTCTTAGACTTTCTTCATTTTGCGTCTTTCGACATCAGTAATTTTGTAGGTGCTTGTGGATATGACTGCAGTTCTTTTTTTGAATTCTAACAAGGTTGGCAAACTTAGAATTCTGATTTTTATAACTCATTTAAAGTAGGGAACAGAATTTTTTTCAGTGGTAAGTAATAATAAAATACATCTTTGCTAGGACTTGGTGGTTCTATTTGTACAGTGAATTTGTGTGAGATTTTTTTTAAACAAGAAGCCCTCTTCGCAGAAATAAAAGTAATTTTTGGGCCCTGACTGGTAAGTTTTTTTTCAAGTGGAATGAAAATATCTGACATAGATGGGTTCAAATGTTAAGTGTTAGTCTTGTTTGCAATAAGAAGAACTTAACTTTGGATACACAGAACCACACTTCCTGTCTGCAAGAAAGAGCTCTTCTTGTGTAAAAGGTGATGCCTTAGAAGCAACTTAGAAGTTCCAGTAAAAATGGTACTTACTGGTCAGGTTGCATAAAGGCACCTATGAACATTATTGGTGACTTCGTTAGTATGACCCTGCTCAGTTTGTTGTTGAAATGAGTGCAAGAAAATCCCCTATGTTGCCATGGAATTTCAAGCTCCCAGATGTGTTTCTTTTACTACCCAAATTTCATCTAGATGTATACTTTTTTTTTAATAGCTGTATGACTGCTTGAGATAGGTGGGTAATTTTTTATCACGTTCAGTACTGACTTTTAGATAGGTCCACTGAAATAGTTGTGGTTTTTTCCCTCAGTTCTACAATAGCTGTTATATTGTCTCTGATGAGACTGACATGCTCCATTCGCAGAATCAGAATGGTTTGGGTTGGAAGGGGACCTTGAAGATTATCTTGTTCCACCCCCCTGTCATGGTCAAGGACACCTTCCACTAGACTAGGTAGGCCCTATCCAAGCTGGTCTTATATGCCTTCAGAGATAGGGCAGCCACAGCTTCCATGGGAAGCCTTTTCCAGTGCCTCACCACTTTCCCTGTCTGGATTTTGGTGCAATACTTTGAAGATAAACACAAAATCACTAGTGTTGCAACCTGGCGGAGTTCTCTTAAATATGAAAGAAGGGAGGCAATAGACAAGAGCTCAGAGAATTCAGTAACTTTTCTGTCAGTGAAGTTCTACTCTCCACTCTATTTCCTGCTGTTCATAGGTCACTTTGGCATTGGTCTGTCTTGCATAATCCCAGAATGGATTTTCAACTAATTGTCATCATAACTCTTTGACTGCCAGTTTCTCTCTGATGTGTAGCTAGCACAGTTCTGCTGTGTAGCTGGTGGGAGACTGAAGACCATTCTGAGTGATTGGAAAATGCTGAAATGGGCTGAACACATTAGCATAGTGATGGAAATAATTTCTTGAGCAAGATAATACCTAAATCTAGAAAAGAAGTGATAGATTTTTCTGCTTATATGAGATCTTTATCTCATTCGCAAATTTTTTTCCCTTGTTTCTAAAGTCTACTTCAAATAGTTGCTCTCACATTCAAAACCTGAATAGAATGCTTTTAATTTAATATTTTATTTTATTTTGGTTTGTTTAAAATCAAACTAAAACATTACCCAGGCCTCAGTATCTTCTACTGAAATCAGAGGATTTTCACATAATTTCAGGAGTTGCCTTAAAGGTAACTATAGAAATTCAGTGAAATGAAAACAGTTGGTTAGAATAAATTATGTAATTTGATAATTAATTGTTTTATATTATATCAATCAGGACTTTTTTTTTATTATATCAATCAAAATTTTGCTAGAGTCTAAAGAAGTTATAGTCTATGGTCTTTTAAATTTAAGACTGACATATTAGCATGTGATACGCTAAAATCACTGACTTTTCTATTTCTATATATTTCCCTGTTAAATTTTGCTGTAAAGATAAAGCATGTGTGACTTCATACTGAATGCATGCAGTGTACTGCTTTTGCAGTGTTTTCACACAGTTTTGTAAAAAATGGTTTCATGCTTACATATTGGCATGAATAAAAGGGCATTTCCCATTGTATGGTTGTAGCTGTGGAGTGAAAAGAGAAAGAAAAAGGTGATTTTATGTGCTCAGTTTTAAGAAATATGTGACACTTTTTTGTTGTCATATTTGAACATGAGTGCCTGTAATTTATTTTTTTTCACAATACCTTGCTGTATTCACTTTCATAACATTCATAGATATTTCAAGGTGCATAAGTGTTAGCAGTTTCCTTGAAAAATGTATTTGTTGGCTTCTATCAAAGAAGAAAAGTTGTTTGTTCTGGCAACAGATCTAGCATTTTCATGTGTTTATTCTGTGCTGGATCTGCTGGCTTTATCCAATTTTACTACTCATCCACATTTTGAAAGGATGTGTAATATGTGATTTACTGCACCCAGGGGTAAATTAATGGTAGTAATTAGCACTTAAGTAAAAATATAATTTAAATAATAGGTATCTGCTTCCAACTGGGCAATATTTTTTATGTTGCTTATCGAAACATATAGTATGTCATATAACACCAAAAGAAGCTAGTCTCTATTAGAGAGTGTTGTGAGTGTATCTGTTCTGGGTTTTGCATTGAAACAACCCAAAAAAGTCCTAATGTAGCATGGTTAGTGCTACATGTGTGCATCTGCTGTGCATCTGCTGTGGGTTGCCAGTATGGCAGTTGGACTTGGGGTCTGTTCACAGCTTGCAATGAAGAAGCACCCATCCTGAGCCCAGAGTAGCCACAGGAAGATTGCTGTTATTTCTCCTGATGGGCTTATCCAAGCCTGAAATAGATCAGCAGCATGTCTCAAAGTCTCTGATTTTGAAAGATTGGACAGGAGAGAAAGGCTGAGGGAAGCTTTCACTTGTACATTATTTTTTTCCCAGATTATAATTTAAGTCATAATTGAATGAGAGAGTTTGCGAGGGACAAAGAAGTCTATATAATCAGCTAAAAATAATAATAAAAAAATTAATAAGGTAATAAAGAAGACGTGAGAGAGTAGGAAATGCTATGGCCCACCTTTTCTTGCTTCATATTATTAGAATATTAACTAGGCAGTAGTCTGTCTAACATGAAATGTCTTCTATTTGCAGAGCCAATGGAACAAAGCCACAAATGACTGCGTATGGCATTTTTTTCCATTTGAATGCTCTAATAGATAAAAGCCGCACTAATTAATCAAAAGAAATTGATATTGTCCTCTTATATACTAATACCCCACAGTAATCTTTGTTAATATGCATCTGTAATGTCTAAATCAGTTTGTAATACCTTATATTCACTACTCTGCTTATGTCTAACAAGCCCTTTAATAATCAAATATACCAAATAACATCTGTTCAGAAATTATTTTATAATTGCTGTAAAGTTTTTTACATACCATCCATTTTTCACTGCCCTGTGCGATTTATTGCTCTTTACAGAATCAGGACCCCGTGTGTGTGTGTATATATGTATATATGTATGTTTGTGTGTGTGTCTGAATAGAAATAATTAAAAATAAGTAGCCATTTCCTGTGCACTTCATTTTACTTCAGTTTGATTGTCAAGACACTTTCACAGTTATAAAAGCTGTTTTTATTTCCATATATTTGGTTTGTGCTCATTTACCAATTTTCTTGTAGGGAACAAATGGCCACAGAAATGTCAGAAATATTGTCTAGGTAGGTGAGAAGGTATAACACCAGTGAATCAATAATTTTATAAAACCAAATCACGCATGAAATGGGTTGAATTATTATGGAATTAAAAGTTACGGAATCTGGGTTTTTTTTCAAGTCATAAGCAGATAAGTAAATTATTTATTTCAGATTAATTATGTTTACCATTTTTCAGCAATTATTTCTTTGCTATTTTAATTGATTATATTGAAAAAGAATAGGAATCGTTCACGTACCCTGTAATTTTCTGTAATTTTGTTAATGCTTCTCCAGCTTTCTTCTCCTCTCACCTTTGTGGTAAACAGAACACAAGGCTCCACATCTTTTAAAGGCATATTTCTACAGATTCACCGCAAAGTTAATGAAGTCTTTTAACAGTAATGTAACTGTCGGTGCATTTAATAAGGAAGTATTTTAATTAGAGTTCCCTTAAAAGCCTTTTTGAAAATTTCCATGTTAAGACCGTATTAAAAACCCTCTTAAGATATCCAAACAAAATCCCCTTCTGATATTTCTTGAATGGTGATGCAAGATTTTATGCACAATGCAGAAGGAAAGATAAATACAGGTTTTGGTCTTGAATATACGAGTTGGTAAAATACCGATACTCTGTTCAAAGAAATTTTTGTGATTGTCTTCCATATCAGCAAGTAATTAGAAAGTGTTTTCTGCAACTTGAGGGCAGAAATTACCTTTGACATTGATTTTATGAAGCTTACAGAAGAAGAAAATATGTTTAGAGGTTTTGGAAGTGAATCTGTTGTTTAACAAGTTACTAAAGTATGTATATATAGTCTGAAGATGATCAGTCTCATGTTTGATGGATTTCCTAGCGGTATCATGCATTGGAATGCAGCTAGTAACTAAATTTTTCTCCTGCAGTGTTATTTTAAGAAAGAAATAAACCACATAATATGTAATTAGGGTAGCATGTGAATTTAAATGGCCATATTGTACTGCATATATTGACACGGTTCCAATGACAGTGGCCAATTTTTAATGTACAAAAAGATGGAAAAATTTTGGGGCAAAATCAGAGGCTCTGTGTTCTGGTTGAATTCAAAATGCAATACCTCTCAGTATCTGCTTGTTTAACTAAATGTGTCTCACTTTTCATACACTGGTAACTTTTGACATGAGACTGATCTTTTGTATTTTTAATCTGAAAATACTGTTTATGATATATAACTCTCATATGGAGCAGTGAAGATTTAATGTCCTCTTACTGCCAGGCTGTTATGATTGAAGTCATGTAGAAAACAAGCAAGTGATGTTCAGAGTGCAGAGCAGTACCCTAATAGAAAGACTAAGCCATTCAATTGGATAAGCATTCTTAAAGATTACTAGTTTAACCAGAGAGGGTACAGCCTAGTTCTGCTGTGCTAAATTAGGCAGCAAACTCTTAGAGTGGTGGGTAAGGTTGCTAAATAAGGAAAATCCTTAGGATTTGTCAAATTAGGTTCAAGAAGGTTAGACACCAGGCAGTGTAAATTATTTATCAGGAATCCTTAATGTCCTACAAGTATGCCAATAAAAACAAAATATTAAAGTATATGTTTGAAGAAGTTTGTCCAGTTATTTGTTTTACAGTCATGAGTAGTTCTAAGTCAGAGTTAATTTTTTAAGTCTGACTTCTCACACTCCAACTGGAAGCTGCGTGTGGACTCGAATTAGTAGTATGAGTAGGCATTAAGCTGCTACTCCAACAGTAAGATTCTGTAGTTTTAATTATACTGAAGAGATGGTTCAGTTGTTATTAAGAAGAATGTTAGGTTTATTCAATGAAATTTAAATTGCATTTGTTATCTCTGCTTTTAAAACTGCTGTATCTGCATAAAGAAAAAAAACTTCAGGTTATAATAGCTTTTATAGGCTTCTAATTAAAAAAGGAAAATAAACATAAAACTTCACAGTACCACAGGAGACCTTTATGGAAAAATAAATGTTAAAGTAATATTCGTTAGATTATACCTATTAATAGTGTGCCTGTCCCACAAAGATATTGCTGCACAAACAGACGTTCCAAGAAAAAGGCCTGTTTTTTTCTTATTGCATCAAGAACTTTGCTACCTTCTTAAAGATCTAGTTTCTTTTAAACAAATTCCCTTAGATCCTGAAAGAATTCATTTTTTTTTTCTCATTCATGAGCAGAGGCTGGTAAAATCATGTGTCTGCTCTTGAATTCCTTAGTGTTTGAAAGGTGCGCTGATCATCACTGAACGTTGCAGTGTTTTGAATTTATTTTATAAGCAAATAATCCACGGGAAGTTTGCTGTTCCTGAGGGAAGGTTCTTCCACTTATCCATACCGCATTTGTTGGGGAAAAAAAGAAATTTAGGCTTATGTTTATATCTAATGTTTGTTTTGTACATGGAAACCTTGTACATTTTCCTAAAGATGATTGAGATTTTAGTAATAATTTCTCACTTGCATTTGCTGTTGACTTACTTGTGTATTACCTACATGGTGAAGAACTTTTGCCTTTGTAAAACACTGGGTTTCAATGAGTCTTTTTTTACTGGTCAGCCTTTAGTCCGAGTGGTCTTTTTTGCCTTGATATTTCTTGATGGTCAATATCAACCCCAACCCCTGAATAAATATTGCTGTTATTAGATAGCCAATATAGAATTAATTTGGCTTCTTCTCTCAAGTTAGGTTTTGGTCAAAGACAGAATATTTTCTCAAGGTTAGGAACAAGGATTTTGTCCTAGACCAATTTTAAATAGCAGAGGAAATGCCTTTTCTTCCTTCTCCTTGTTCTACTTCAGGAATATTTTTCCTTGTCTGTTTTTTGAATGGAACTAAAAATGTCTACTGTCAGTCTTTGTTTTCTGCATCTTGGTTGGCTCTAAGTAAAACTTATATCAGTGTGGGATGAGATACACAGAACATGTGTCTTTCCACACATGAACATTATTAATGACGATTCCTTTTAATCTTTAGGAGGCCAATCAGATTATTATATGATTTTGTGCATAACGTATAGCTTCATTTTCTCTTAATAATTTGAACATCTTGATAATATTTTGGTATTTTGTCTTTAGAATTCTGTGTGGTAATAAATATGATACATTGTTGATTATGGGATCTCTTCCTCTTCTTAAAACAATTCCTGTTTAATACTTGAAAAAATACGTATATATTTTAAAAATAATTGCAGGGGTCCTGCAGTGCAAGCCACAAAAGCTGCTGCTGGTACTAAGAAGCATGATCTCAGCAAGTGGAAATATGCAGAGCTTCGTGATACAATCAACACATCCTGTGGTAAGTGTTTTTTTTTTTCTGAGAACGACTTCAAGTTGTAGTTATATGAAAAGTGTTACTTTCTTCCTATAACAAAGATTGAAAGTTTACATAAGTTTGAGTGAATAACAAATTAATTAAAAAAAGTTCTCTTACCCCCAAAAGAACCATACACAAAGCTATTTCCATATTAAGAAAACATAATTTCATTGTTATGTCTTTTAGGGATTATATTTTTATGATAATAAACATCTTGGGCCATAAAATGCATGTTATAGCTTCTTAATTAAGTTCACTCAGTTTGATGTACTTCCACAGAGGGAATAGTAGTTATTATGCTTTACCTAGAATTTTCATGGACTAAGAATTTTTTTGCTATCACCAGATCACAAAGAAAGCAAAAATATGTTGTCTTAGATATTCCTATTATTCTTTAATTTTCAAAATGTGTAGCTTCTTTTTGGAAGCTTACAGTAGGGCACTAATCACTTTGGCCTCAATGCTGTGAAGATAGAAGCAGATAAGAATTGTTCCTCTTTTAGATATTACTGTTTCTTCCTGCTTCTTATTGAAAGCAGTTGGTTAATTTGTGATTTAAGATCACTCAGAATTTCTTCCTGGATGTAGAAATTGGAAACTAACTCATTTCTCTTTTAGTGTTTTTACATATGCAAGACTGGAGCAATGTTTTCAGCTATGTAGATGGTGCAGTAATAAGTGGATTTCTTTCCTCGTGAAGCCAACTTGGATACTCTGAGATATCTAATGAAAAAGCCTTGTCATCATTCAATCTCTTAACATAATGAAATTCAGAAAAACTAAAATACATATATGAAAAAAGAATGCAAATTTAAGCAGTCAAATTTCTTTTTTTCTTTTTTTTTGGTTGCAAAAATAATGTTCAGCAGTGCAATTTAATCTTTTTTTAGAATTTGTTTCTGTGCTGCTTGCATTGTGATACTGTCAACAGAAATATTTTACAAAATTAGCATTTTACTGCTCCAAATGTCCCAGTACAACAGCTACTTTGGGGACTGCCTTTACTCTGAAGCAGAAAAGGATTCATCAAACTCTCAGGGACTTCTTGGGCCATAAAACACAGGCTCTGTGCTTCAGAGAGTGAGAGGTTTTCATACTACATTTTATCATATTAGTGTCACAACTTGATCTCCAATCATATATCTTACCAATATAGAAAAGCATTTAATAAATAATTTTTCTGACTTTTCTCATTCATGCCTTCCCCTCCTCCTTTTTTGGGCATAGATATTGAACTCTTGGCAGCTTGCAGAGAAGAGTTCCACCGAAGGCTAAAGGTGTATCATGCTTGGAAATCCAAGAATAAGAAACGCAATGCAGAAACAGAACAGCGTGCTCCCAAATCAGTCACAGACTATGGTGAGGAGAGATAATTTTGTGTTTATAGTAGTTTTGGTGATAATATTCTAAAGAGAACATTTCTGAAATGGATTTTGGGTTTGCTAGGTTGAAGAAACTTGGAGTTTTTAGGAGGGTTTTATGTTGATTTAAGGTAAATATTTTGGAAATACTGAAACTTGCAAATTCTTCACAGAAATTAAAACACTTTTAGTAGACCCAGCTACTTATGCTGAACAGCTCTCTCTTAAAACCTTTTCTCACATCCATCTGACATCTTTTAAAAAGAGTTTTTGATCTACTGATGCAGGTGCTGGTATTTTTGTTAAATGTTCATTGCTGTGCTGCTTTAATATTTCATAACATATAGCCATGTAGACATAGATGTAGATACTTTCAGAAGGTGCTACTAATTCTGTCATTTACATCACTGCTTACATATATCATGTTACATTCACTTTTAAAAAATCTGAGTGTTGATACTACAATTTTGGCTCATGGGGTGACAGATTTTGCGTAGACCCTGTTTTCTATTTCGACCCCTCATTCTACTGATTTCGCAGGCTGGTGTTTATTGACAAAGCAACATGCTAATCAGAGTAAGTTTCTTTTGCATTCATCAATAAAATGTGGGAGTTTAAGAGTGCCAGACCTGAAAATTCCATACCTGCTTTCCAGAGTGATATTTACAGAGTGGACTGTTACTCTTTTCCCAACATCCCACCTCAAAAGTCTAGTGATCGTCTGTATAAAAAGAATCTAAGAAATTTATAGAATCAAAGTAAATCCATGGAATAATTTAGTCAGATCATTCCTTTTGTCTTTTGGTTCCATGGTATTTGATATTTGTGTTCCTGCCACACAGTTCATGGGAGAGACAAAGGAAAGGGAAGATGGAGAGAAAGTGCTCTCCCCAAAGTCACATGAGCCTGAGGTGAAGGCATTGTCCTGGGACATGGGGTATAAACATCCCAGGGAATCCAGGTGCCCTAGGTAATCTCAGTCCATGTGCAAAGGCACCTCCTTCCCCTTGATTCATTTACTTGAGTTATGCATTGCTTGAGCATTACCTGAGTTTGAGGTTCTCAGGGAATTTGAATATGGATATGTGGCAGGCAAAATTTGGGCCCCTGGAGAAGATATTATCAAAGATATTATCAAGACCCATCAAAGGAGGTGTCCTTGTGTCTGAAATGTGGTTTTAGGTGCTTATAAAGTTTATGAAATGGCAGGAAAAGGCATTTGAAGCACTGCTGCAAAGTGGTAAATTGCTTTGAACATTCTCTCTGGAGCTAAATGGGTAAAATATTTATACCCAGTATTGCTGATGGGAAATATCAAAGAGCAGATGATCTTTGGATTTTTGCACACAAAGAATATGTTAATATTCTTATCACTTTTATTCAGACATTTGCTACATTCTTTTCAGTGTTTTTAATTGTATTTATTTAGCTTCATTGAAATATGGCATAATATTTTGGAATAAGAGAACCATCCAGTTAAGAAGAAATTGATAGTGACCTTTAGAGACTCTTAATGTTAATGCCAGTATAATTCTTTCATTGCAAATAATTATACCACATGAGCATTTCACATATATATATATATATATATATATATATATATATATATATTTTAGTCATCTGAGAAGGTAGTAAGAAGAAATTCTGATTTCTTAGGTGTTTAAGCTAAAAGTCTTTCTGGTGTCAGTGGATGTGTGCTTCAAGTGATGTAGTTTTTTCTTTACATCTCTTCATTGATTTAATGTAATTTACAGTATCTTTTAAAGTAGTTTTATAAGTATCCTTTATTTAAATTCATATATTCAGCATTCAGTATAGCAGCTAGGCACTGGTTTGTATATTACTATTGGTATTGACAGAGGTCTGGAAGTTTTTTTTGTAGCGGAAATGTCAAAAAAGAAAAGTACTACATTAATTAACTAGCAGATTTGTCAGAGCAATTTGTGCTTAGCATGTATACCGCTGAAGCTTTGTAACAGGAATGGCGAATTATTAAGGTGATTAATTTTGAGGTTTAATCCCAATGAAAATAGAAGTAGAACATGAGTAGAAATACTTAGAATCTGCATTTATGTCATAACTAGAATTCCCATTTTTCTGTTATCAGCATTGGTGAAAAATGTTGATGTTGTAATGAAACCATAACTTATAAATGATCAGCACTTCCATGTTTTGTTCAACATGTAATATTTGTTCACAGATTTTGCACCATTTATGAGCAACTCAAGTAAGTGAGGAGACAGTTGTTTAAGCTAACTTTGAAGAATAGGAACACTTGAGAGCTCTATACTAACGTTGATTGATCCAGTGTTTTGCTACACATGTACATAGAAGTTAAATGTAAAAAAAAATAATGACAATGTTATTCATCTGATGGCAATTATTCATTATTCTAGTAATTTAAAAATGTACTTGTCTTCATGAAATCCTACCCATTTGAGGAGTCATGGGAAGGGAGAGTGAAATAACCTTCTTACATAAATTATTGGAAGCTGTAATCTCCTATTTTTTTCCACACCCCCAACCCCCAAAAAAACATTCTTGTTCTAGCATTTTTTTATTGACTGAACATGGCTTTTTGTTGTAGCAAAACTCTGGAATCAAAATAATATAACAACTATTTTCCTAGCACACAAACTAACATTCAGGTGGTGGTTTCTTCTGAATAGAGAGCCACAGTTCTATAGCACGAAGCAGAGGCTCCCTTGGCTGCTTAGCCTTGGCTGTTCTCTAGATATGCCCTTGGATTTAGATATGCCTAGGGGTAGAAATGAGCCTTAGCAATTACCATTGCAGTGCAAAAAGTATTCAACAATACTTAAGCACTGATCTGCTGGGGTAAATGGGGATGATTTGTAGAAAATTGAATTAGTTTTTTATATACTCTGTCTCCCTGTAAGGTGTGTGTTTTATCAGAGTTGATCTATAAAAGTAGCATTCATGTGTTAAAATCTGGGTGTTTTTTCTTCTATGTTTATTGTTAATGCACACATAAAAAAAAAGGGATTCGATATGTATAACACATAGGGTTTTTTTAAGGTTCTGCTCTTCAGGTTTAAAAAAATTATTTTTGCTTGAATCTAAGAAGAAGAAATTTCAAGGTGCAGTTGTAAGTCTATATTAGTCTTGTTCATGACTGTAAAAATAAGTTATAAAAGGTAATTGTCATTTTTCATATTATTAAATGGTAGCTCAGAAATTATCTTCGTTGCTCAATAGACAAGGAAAAAAATTAATTCAGTTTTAATTATTCCTTTTATGCTGAAATATATAGAAAGTTAATACTGATTTTCTTCTGTAGAGATGGTAAAGGTTCTTAAGCAGGGTATCTGTAACAATGGTGTAAACCACTAAAACAAGATCAGTAATAAACTTTTGCAGTTATTAAAGGAAAGGATGTTGCTTTTAAGATGTTGCATTTACTATTTAAAACTAATTATGGTAGTGTATATGTAAGATTAACAAGGTTGATCATTTGATGAAATAATGTAGACAGTATATGCTTTTATTTGAAAGCAAATTTCTCTCCAGAGTCTGAAATATGGGGAACTCAAAAAGTCCAAAAATGCATGTGGAAAATATTTACCAAAAATATATATGAAACTTGAAAAAATTCCAGGTGACTTTCTCCTTTAGAAGTTTAGTCAGCTGATCTTAATGGTCTGAAATAAACAATTCCTTGAAAAAAGAAAGCAGCCAGAAATTGCTTCTAATGCCAGATTTTGACATACAGAAATCTAGGCAGAAAATTGTTTGGTGGCAGCTTTGTAATAAGCAGTACTTATTGTCAACATTTCTATTAATGAATTAGTAATTTCTAACACTATTATACATCCTTTTGTGTTGGCTGTCAAACATCAAGTGATGATTTGTATGTTTGTAACTGAAAATGCTTCTGTGCACTGTGATTTTTTTTTTTTTTACAAAGAAATGGACCGAACTAAAGCAATTACTGATAAATGTTTCTGGTTGGTAAGAAATTTTATATGGGAAGTTTTACCTTAAATATTGATTTAAAGCAGAATATGTTATTTTATTTATTTTGTTTTGTTTAAACATGCCATTGGGCAACATGTAGATACAACAGTTAACATGAGCCTTTTTGTGACCAGTGTTTTAGCTGTTGCGATTAACAGAATGCACGTTATATGAGATGGGAGTACTTTTTAGGTTTGCTGAGACTTCAGGTGACCTTGAGAGAGAATCTCTTGGGTTTTGGGGAGGGTTTATTTGTTTTCTTGTTTATTTCATTTTATTGTTTGTTTGCTTGTTTTTTAATGTACTGACTAATAAAGCAAGTAATATGGCTTTTTTGTTTTCTAATTGTCTTGTTCACTTATTTTTGGGGGGATGTTTTGTATGATAGCACAACAGAACCCCACAGCCCAGCTACCAGGCAGACAACAAGAGATTGAAATAAACCGGCAGCAGCGCTACTTCCGCATTCCCTTCATCCGCCCTGCGGACCAGTACAAAGACCCCCAGAACAAGAAGAAGGGGTGGTGGTATGCACACTTCGATGGGCCCTGGATTGCTCGGCAGATGGAGCTTCACCCTGACAAGGCACCCATTCTGCTTGTAGCGGGTTGGTATTGAAACTTGGAGAAGGTTCAGAATTAATAACAAACTTTAGAAAGAGAGGATGAAGTTCCAAGTTCCCCAAGTTGTATCTTTTTTTTTTTTTTCATCAGCAGTTCTTATCTGGGCAGAATTTGAAGATTTGGGACTGCTGTTGATGGTGGCCAAATGTTTCAGAATATCATTAGGACACTAGGTCCTGTGTTTTACTTGTACGCGTACTTCAATTTGGGAAACCAAAGACAGAGTGGGAAATCAAATGGAAAGGGTTTTATTATTACAAGTCCTGAGATTATTCATTCACTGGAGACAGTGTGAAGATAAAACATTACAATTTATCTGGGAAAGATCTACTCATTGTTATACTGTTTTTTAGTTAGCTATAAAGAATTACAAGCAGTTTGTATCAAAGCAATTTGTGCATATGTTACAGTGTCTTTCCATAGCATGGGGCTAATAGCAAGCTGATGCTTTTACCCTATTTATGCTAGTATGGGAAAATAGCTTTTTAATCTTAAAAATTTAAATAAATGTTGCAATGGATAGGTAGAGATTTATCTGGTAGTGAAACATATCCTCCTTTTCTGAAGGGTAAGGAACAGGGGAGAAAACACTGGAGAAATGCTGCTCACGTTTCTGTGTTTTGAGATTTTGTATTTAACTTAGAGACTGAGGAAAGGCCATAGCCAATTTGTTTCACTTCAGAATTATGCTTTGCTAGCAACAAAAGTTTGTTTTCTGCAAATTATTTTAAGTAGAATTCCTTATACCAACTGTTGCTGTTCAGTGCCAAAGCCCATAGCTAAAAGTAGCGCTGCTGTCGTGACTACCTGTTAAAAATAAAACTACAATTTAGTTTGTGAGCTACACATATAATTTCATTGGATTGCCTATGTTGGTCCCATTTGGTAAACACTGTTTGTTTTGGGTGGTAGGTTGACAGATTAGCTAATTGATCCAAAGTCTGGAGTTCTTAATTGCTTTGCTACATTTAATCATAAGTAAAACAGTTCACTGTGAAGTGGCCTGAAACTGAAAGTATATGTAATCCAAATGTGGTTGTCATCCTGTAATGGGTTTCAGAAGAATATATGGAGATGATGGTCTGTCAGCTTCTTCCCTTTATTCCTTTTTGCTTGCTGTTTAAGCACAGCTTTGTAAATTGCAGTATCTGAAACTAGTTTATTCTCATGCTGTTTTAGTGTTCTTCGTGTAACAAAAAACCAGTATACTGAAAAATGCCTGTATCTAAGGACTCCCTCATAAGCTCTGAAGTTTACTAGCAAACCAGATCTACAGAGAGGAAGTGTAATTAACAATCCCATCTAATTTTTATTGATGGGACCTTTGAATGATGTAAAATATGTTTTCTTCTTCCCTTTACCATGTCAGGTAAGGATGATATGGATATGTGTGAGCTTAACCTTGAAGAGACTGGCTTAACCCGAAAGCGAGGTGCTGAAATTTTACCGAGACAGTTTGAAGAAATTTGGGAACGCTGTGGAGGCATCCAGTATCTCCAAAACGCAATTGCAAGCAGACAAGCTCGCCCTACCTACGCTACGGCGATGCTGCAGAACCTGTTGAAATAACTGGGCAGTCGGCACAGGAGCGTTCCAGATGAGAACCTTGCCCACGATACAAAGGGAGGAGCTCCTCTGGTCTACAGAGGGCCTAAACGTTCTGTAATCAGAGTAGAGATGTTTAATATAAAGTGAACAGATTTTATTAATCATGTGGTTTGTTAATTTGTACTTCATGATGTTTAATTTGTGTAGTGAACTTTACTAGGTATGAGGACCCTGAAGAAACTTCAGTCAGTGTAGTTTGCTGCATTTTGTTTATATGTTGCATTTTGTTTAACAGTTTCTGTTATAACTCTTAACACTTTTAAGCAATCTGTCTATACTTGGGTACATATTGCAAAGAACTGCACTGCAACCACCTTTTTATAAGATTCCTTCTTTAAAACACTGAGTAGCTGGCTTCAAGTGGTGGCCTAGTAAAGAGAATATGCTATTTCTAATAACTGGAATTGTGAGGCCTTAGCTTTGACTTCTGTTATGGAGAAGTTGGAGTATACTTTTATATAACCTGAGACATTTTATGTCCTGATTTGCAAACTGGTCAATGTCTGTAATTAATGATTTTTGTTTTTCCAGAAACTGATGGGAAATCCTCCTGAACTTGAGACCTGTAAACCCCTGTTTAATTCATTCTCTGTCTTGGTTTAAGATAAATGGTTTTCTGTACATTACAAGAAAAGCATTCATATACATCAAAATAGTATAATATTGGAGGTCCTCAAAGAATGTACTGCTCTTTAGGGCTTATACCACTTCTCTTGTAGATATTTTTCCCTTTCTTTTTAGTACAAATCTGTTTTAGACTTTATTTTTCTGACCACATTTCTACTAGCAATTCTTGGACAGTTTGTTTAGCCAGGTAGTGTAATTTCAACATATTACACAAAATCGTCCAAGCTTTGTATCTGAAGGTATATAAGATTAAGGATAGCATTAAGGGAAATATGTTCAGCTTTTTGCTGGCAGTATGCATATTGTGGCCTGAGCCTCAGAAATCCTCTTTATTTTAACTGTAATGAGATATACAAGATCTATAACTTTTGTTGGACTGTGTAAAAATTTGGTCCAATAACATAATGCATCTTAATACTATGTGCTGATGAAATAGCTACAATTTTTAGTGTACTGGAATATCATAGTGATTTGGATGCTGAGCTGTATATTAATCTCCTCTATCGAGTTTCATAGCTTGTAACAGTTCCATTATTAAGCTGTTTGTTTGGGGAGTTTTTGTGAGTGGGAATCATTAATTTCATACAGTTTTAAGAAGCATCTCTTTCACTTATGTGAATATTGCTTTATCTTGCTGGCCATTATTTCAACAAATTAAACATGACCATTTGTTATCTCTCTGATAGAAATCCAAAATATAAGTAGCTTGATGTCCAATTATGTAGCCTGATTTAAAAATGAATTTTTGCCCTTTTTAATTGACAGTTTGCTTACAGTATGAAATAATTTCTGCACTCCTTACTGAGCATGAAACCTCTTGGAAATGTTAATTTTTAAATGCGTAAATATACTTAATTTAAAAGAGGGGTGATTCTGTAGCACAGACAAAGCTCCTTGCTGACCTTAGACTGTGGTTGTGTGCCACAGTTTGCTTGTTGTTATAAATGCACTCCTTATGGGAATAATGTGTTGATATTCAAGTGGTATTTAACCTCTTTACACACCCACTGCAACATTGAATCTTAGCTTCTGCTGTAGACCCACTCTGTACTTCCTGGTCATGTGATTGCAAATGAGAAAATAATTTTCATTTTACCCAAATTCTTCATTGAAATAATTGTTTTTGGCTGGAAGATGAAAGGAGAAGTGCATCAGACTGCTGGCTGGAAAGTTGTGTGCAAACCTGTACAGTGTTGCGTGAGTTTAAAGGTGCAGCTTATGAAATCTAGATTACTTGTTTAATGTGTTACTGCACTGAAACCAAAATGTGACAACTTCCAGTCTCCAAACACTTAGCAGTGCAAGAAGCTGCGCTCGTTCATGTGATCCAAGGAAGAAAAATCAGTGACCTGACCTGTGTTTGTTTCTGTCTGGGTTTAGCTGCTTGACTTTGCACATTCCATCTCAGTGTATATATCTTTAAAAATCCATGGATCTTACGAGACTGAATACTGTAAGCAAAGAACCTCAAATGCTTAGGTGTGTGTGGGTTATATACACGCATATGTGCTTAAATATTTTAGTATGTATGTGTGTAAACATACCTGCAGGGAACTTTAAATAAAATTAACTGAATTTTCCCACTCTGTTCCTTTAGTTATGTCAGGATTTCCTTGACTGGCATGGGAAAGAAAATTGATTAATCAGAATGGGGTGTATGGAAATTTTTCTTTACTAAATGACTAACAAATATGAGCTATCATGAAAATAAAATGGACTTTAAAATAGTGGAAGAGGGACTGGTGGCTGGACATCTCAAATGAGATGTTCCCACCGCCCAGCATTACTCCAGAAGTATGCCTGATGGAAGCAGAAGATGCATTCCAGAAATCAGGGTATTCTAGTTTGCACATTAGCAGGCTGCTTTTTTTCCCCCTTTTGTTTTTCACTCCACACCAAAAGCAGCTTCTGCTCTTAGTTTTACTTATCTTTTTGTGAAACAAAATTAATTTTCAATTAGTTTCAGATTATTTTATTTTTTTTACATGTCTGGCAATATTTAACTGCCTACCAGTTGTTTCCATGGTCCCTTGTAGTGTGTCAGATAATTTTAGTTGGTTGATTTGGAGAGGAAATATAAAAGGAGGGGAGAGGATTGATCTTTAGGACTGTAGGATGACCTGATGCCTATCTGATTTATAATTATAGAGAAAATTATAGAGGTTTTTAAAGCCCAATTGCTTGGTTCTCTGTGTGTTTCATTAAAAAAAACAATTCTTCCTGCCTGTCAGTGAAACTGCCCATTATAGTTGAGATTGACTAAAATGCTTCACAAAACAAAGGATAGGAAGAGAATCACCACAATAAGCTACATTCCTGACTAGGTGACCCAGGAATATTCATTTTCTTGAGAATGCTACTCTGAAGATCCTTCAATACTGACTCTGAAGGTCATTCATACTTGTCTTTTATCCACTGATAAGATTGTGTTTTTCTTTACCTAGTTGAATCCTCTGGGTTTTTCTTCAAAAATCTTTAAGTATTTAAATGACCTCTTAATACTGTACTGAAAATTAAAAATAAAAATAAACACATTCCATGTTGAAATCTTACTTGTATCTTCTTACTGTTTTGTCTTTGAAGAGTTTAAGCATAAGGGTTAATTAAGTTATGAGAAACATAAAAATATTCCTTTGCTTGTTCTGTCTGCTGCCTTTCCATGAGATAATTTTGGTGCTTAAACCTACTTTTTAAAGCTTTATTCTTGTAAATATTTTACTTTCTAAGGTATGTGTTCCTCCAAAATAACATTCTGATATTAGAAAGTTCTGATTTTGTTATCTTAAATCTCATACTTCATTTCTCAGTATTTGTTGAAATAAGTATCTTTTTGCTTTCAATATTTTTTTTAACATTTATTGCTATCACTTAACATTTATGTCTATCATTTGCTATGCTATGTACTCTGCATCCTTTTAATTTTAGATTGTGTCAGTCAGTGACTGGTGACACCAACTCTGCTTCTTGGAATGTATGTGCTGTGGGGGAAGCTTTATGTTTGGGATGGAGATGTGGTATTGCTTTTGTGGGGGTTTTGTTTTTTGTTCCTCTTAAGAGTCTTGGGGAACTTTCTCATCTTAAGGGCCAAATCACAGTGATTGTTGTTTAATTTAAATAGATTCAAGCAATTCAGACTTTATCTAGGAAATGTAATTTTGTTTGAGTTTCCTTATGGCTTTTATACCAGTTGTATAAAACTGTTACCAACTGTAACTCTACATCAGTTTTAAAGTTACATGATGAGCTTTAGTGCAATATTAGGCACCACTTCAATTCCCTGTGAAATTTTCAAGTAAATTATTTTATTTTGTTTTATTGAAATACAAAAGGTTTACATCCAGCAAATATATTTGGTAATTAATAGTCGAGAGTGATAAATACAATCATGAATTATCATTATTAAAATACACATTTTAAAATTACTTATTTTTTTAGTCTGGGTAATGATAACTACCAGAAGTTGAAATACACTAAACACATACAAAAATACATTTGTAATGGAAAAAAATTGAATGCTATCAGCATTCTTAATGCATTCTTAGCTTACATGAGCAATAGTGAAAAGCTAGCATTTGTAGGCAAGGATGACTTCCAGTGCCTTGCAAAAGTACTTTTAAAGTAATTTTATTCTGAAGTGTTACTGTGTAAAAACACATCTTAGGTTTCTTCTTTGTTTTTCTTTCCTACTTAAATAAAGTAAGTAAAAACACTATTTCAGCTGTAGAAACTCCTTGGTGCACTGCCTTCATCCGTACGCAGTCACCAGTTCTGGTGGTTTTGCAGGCAAACCCGTGCAGTTGTTGGGAATTCGTAAACAGTTCGTTTGAGTGGACTTGAGAAGGGGAACCAAAGTTCAGTCTTTGCTGTGGTAACTGCACGGCACGAAGTAAGAATTATCACCAAAGTCAGCTGCTGTCCTGGATACACGGAAGTTTCACATCTGGATGAGGAGTTGTCATCCAGGATAGTCATGAACTTTGTAGAGGCTCAGTTTGAGCTGTAAGTACGACTTCTGGTGTGCACCAAGCAGCAAACCAGTGCCTGAATACAGCACTGGTACAGAATATAAATAGAGATACATATTCAAGAATAAGATACTCAAGGTAAAATAATGCTCCTACTTGAATCAGGATTGTGGATTCATAGTGCATAAGTTAATAAGCCTACAAAATATTTAATGGCCACCTGTTGTCTGTTTAGATTTCTCCTACAAAAACTAGCAGTAACATCTCAAAATTATTTGTGTGGATACTGACTCTAAAGTGTAGGTTCTCATGTGCAATTCTAATCTACACAACACCAGGAGGGTGCTTGTGAATACAAATCTCATGTTCTGGAAAGATAAAACTCCATATATTGTACCTCAGCAAAAAGTTTGAAGTCTTAGGATAACCTGATAGTTTCACTGTCACCAGAATTAAACAGTTAAGTGAATATGTACATATGTAAAAATGATGTCTTTATTAACAGAAAAATAGGAATCTGATGTTCATAGAAACCCTTGAAAAATTAAATCCAACTTCTGTGTGATTTGCTATGTGAGCATTCAGGGAGGGAATGAAGAAATTCCCAAATGCTTTTTAATGTGGCCTTTGGTCAATGACAGCTCTAATTTCCATTCACTATTTGTATCAGTGTGTGTAAGGAAGGTTAATAAAGGGGTATAGAAATGCACTGAAGCTCCACTGACATTTTTACCAGAATGGTTGTAACATACAATATTGAAAAATGTCTCATCTCAGCAAAATCTGTTTCTAGCACTCAGTTCTTAAATAAAACAGTTAAGTTGTGTAAGCACCAGAAGCTTAATGCATGCATCTTAATAGTGGGAACTTCCTACCAGGCATTTTAGACATGCTCAAAAGCTGCTCAACTTGGTAATTTGTTTTCCTTCAGTAAAACTATTTTTTTTAATGTGTACTGATTTTAGAGCCAAAATACTGTATCTTTAGGAATCCTTTATTTTTTTTTTTCATACTCATCCTGAAGTCCAGTCTTGAATAATGCAGACCTTCTTTCTTGAATACCTATAAGAGAAAGTCCCATATGACATTTGAAAAGTATTGTTGAATTTGAAAGTGCACTATTTATCTAAGAGCTAATAGGCAAGGTCACACTAAAATCTGATAATTGTAGTTCATCGTAAGTATTGAGCTTCGAGAATAGAAGGCTCCAGAGAGACCTGCTAGTGGCCTTCCAGTACCTAAAGGGGGCCCAAGAAGGAGGGAGAGAGACTTTTTGCAAGGGCAGGGAGTGATAGGACTAGAGGGAATGGCTTTAAAGTCAAAGAGATTTAGATTAGATGTTAGGAGGGAATTCTTAACTGTGAAGGTGGTGAGGCACTGGAAGAGATTGCCCAAAGAAGTTGTGGATGCACCATCCCTGGAGATGTTAAAAGTTGTTAGTTTATGAATGACTAATTGGATAAAACTCCACTCAATCAAAATCCCCTCTGGTAAATAAGTTTTGCAATAATTTTCCATGCAGTGATTCTGTAACTAAACTGGAGACATTTTTCATATTTGGGGAGGATTTGAAGGGTATTTTAGCTTCTACTGGAACTTTATGCCTATTTTCATATATGCCTTTATAAATACAGAGCTGTACTTACTTTAGATATTATGTCCTAAAAAGCTGTCACTGCTGTCATTACATATTGCAAACCAGAAGTTAAATACTGAATTCTCAATTTGGCCTACAAGATCCAGATAGCCGCATCCTGAAAATTCAGTTCAAGTGCCATATTCTGTTTAAAAAATTTTAGCCCTGAAGGAGTTTTCTAGACTGAGAAATCAAAGTGCTTCTCTTACTTTCAGCTAATGAAAGGTGTTCTACCTTTAAATTTTCTTCTGCCGTTGACTTTTTTCAAATAATTAAAAACATGTTGAATCTAAGGGTGATGTAAACATTCACTGTGAACTTAAGTAACAGTGAAAAACAGTCACCTAGTTTTTTTAAACCCATTTCAATTTTGTGGTTGCTGGATTTCTCACTAAATTAATTTACTTAACTAGATCTTGAGAAGAGCTTTGTCAATGTACTTTTGGCAATTCAAATGTGGTTTAGATGACATAGACTGTGTTTTCTTTCACAGATGTGCCATTTTATTACTTTAATAAAATATTAATTCTTTTCTATGTAGAAATTTCAAGTAGTTTAGCTATTATGAAAATTTATTGGTCTACAATTGCCCACAGGCACATTTCTTTTAAGGTGGGTGTAAAATACTAATTGCAAACATCTGTGCTCATGCTTTTATGACCAGTGAAGCGAGTTCATTCTTGAGCTTTTCCAAACTGCTACTCCCTGCTGCTTTGTCCATCTCTGTCTTTGCGTTCCAGTCCCCCCATTATCAGCTCAGTCTGTAACTGTACTTGAAGAGACCAGACCTGGGTATGATGAAGATCAGTGGTAATAAATCTTTCTATATGGTATCTCTGCTTGTTCCTTTATTTACATAACAACAAACATGTTAGGAGCCCAAGATTCGCGTAGTTGGTGTCCTGTCTTCCAAAATGTCCAGCTAGTGCCAAGAGCAGTCCTGTACAGATATTCCCCACAATAACTATGGGTGCTAACAGCTATAACAAGATCTTTTTATTCCTAATTGGGCTGTAATTCAGAAAAATGAAAAATGGCAAAATAAAAGCTTTTTTTGTACCTATCAAGAGGACATACTCAGATACATCAGAAACAGTCTGCCAGTTTTAGAGGAAGTTTTACTGAGCTTTTCTGCTTTCTGTCTTTATGTCCCCCACAAAGATACAAGGGGTTTCAAGTAGCAAAACTTGAAATAATACTTGAGATATGAGCAGTATTCTGCTCAAATTAGAATTCCTACTTGTCAAACTCTATGTAGCTTAACCAGACGGAGTGATCTGAGATTTTAAGTGAGCTGTGCTGCTATTTAAACCTCTCCTTTGGATTGCATTTTGTGTTAATTTGTCATTTCAGGTATTTCTTCTTCCTTCACATGTTCCAGTGACTGCCACATTAGCACATGGTTATACAAAATAGAACTTTGTTGCGTAAAAACATTTAAGAAGAAAATGTAGTTGTCATATCAAGTGTCAAAAAAAATCTGAGCTTTTCTTTGTATGGAATTACTACAAAGAGGCTCCCTGGTGGCATCAACAATGGGACACAACAGACTTTTAAGGTTCTTGAAAATAGTGACAAACCTTGGTTTTGTCCGGCTGATGCTGGAAATGAAGAATTCCAGAGACTAACTTGTCAGTCTTGGTTTTGTAAACTCATCTGGTGACCTACAAGAGTAAAAATACCAAACCACTAATTATTTCTCTAAATGACTAAAACCACTCAGCTAGGATAGACTGCCAGAGCCATGCAAGAGAGCTGTAAGAAAAGCAGTTCTACAGTGCTGTTATGAAACCTACACTGCAATGAATGCATTAGTATTTTCAGTTCTGAAATTGCCAAGCAAGAGAGTAGCTTCAAGTTTGATTTAGTTGTGGAGTTAATAGATGAAGGTGGACCTGTTATTTCAAGTGGGGCTGTTTGTTGAGGGATGA